CTGGACTTTGTGGTGTTTTGTTGACGAGAATTGTTGCCTATATGTTTCTTGTTTTTCCGATTTCTAGTTCTTTTGGGTAGCTTGCCCATTTGCCCTATGGTTTGGCATATACTATTTGTTTGTACCACCTTTGACCCTACCACTCACTTCATGACACATGGAAAGGGTACAACACCAACAGAGCGGTCAAAGGCATGAATCGGAACAAGTGACCGATTCATCACAAGACACTCTCGTTACTCGCTAATCGGCTTACGCTCCCATAAGCTCCTATAATGTAACGATCGGCACTCCATGCCGATTGTACGAAAGGATCTCGAAAAGCCCCCATTAATTTTTTGTGAACTTGTGTCGAACTCAAAGGACATTCTCACAAGTCCCACATCGAAACTAAGTACTAAGAGCATCCCAAATGCTCTCTATAAAAGGACCCTTTGCCCCAGACAAAGGGTAAGATCTCTCAGCTTGATTTACGCTATAAATACTTGCTAAAACAGAGAATTCTCCCTAACTTACTTTACCATTGGACGGTCTTGGGCTGGTACCACACCGGTGCTCTCGACCTCATCCATTATTTCTTTTTTTAGCCAGGAACGAAGCATCATACCTTAAGGTACAGAATGCTCACATCAAGGGTCCACTAGGCCGAATCATCACACCACCTGCAAGTTGCCTTCTTCTATATCTGTTTAGTTTTGGGGCAAACACTATTGATGTGTTTATATTTATATAGCTTTTTGATAAATATTTCTCTTAGATTTGTATAATTGGATTGGTGAATTGCATTAAATTTAATTGTTTTGATTTACATGTGTTCAATTTTGGAAATACATAGAAAATAAAGTAGAATTGCATCTTTGGGTGTCTAGAGCAATTTTGGTAGAAAAGTCTCAATGAGACTAATAAAGTTTACTAAAGAAAATAGTGGGCTAGAGTTGTGGGCGTGAAGTGGGGGTGGGGGATTTGCTATTAATTAGCTTGCTTTTACTTTATTTACTTCCTTGTTCAAGGAAGACTACAGTCTTGATGAGGTTAGGATTAGTTAGCCTTTTATTGACCTTGGTTGGCTGTGAAGTATAAAAGGAAAATTATTCCTTGGTGTGAAGATATCAACGTGGAGATCAACATATTATGGAGAGACAGAAACACGATGGCAAAAAAGGAAGAAATGAAGCTCTAACAAGGGTTTTTCTAAACTCATGCTATTTTTCATTATGATTTCAATTATGACTGAGGACTTAATTTTCTTATCTAGGGCTACGATGTAGCCTAATCATGAATACTCAATTTCTTAGTTAACATTAATTTCAAGTTTTTCCCTCTTTATGGAGTATCTTTTGTTGTGCTTAATGTTTAATTTGGTTTGGATGTCTGATCACCATCTATGTCACATCCCGGGATTGGCTCCGCCGTAGCACGATATTGTCTGCTTTGAGCCGCTCTCTCTGCCCTCACGGTTTTGTTTATGGGAACTCATGAGCAAAACTTCCCAGTAGGTCACCTATCCTAGGATTGCTCTAGCCCCAATTTGCTTAACTTTGGAGTTCCCATAACTCCGAAGCCAGTGAGCTCCCGAAATGCCTCATGCTAGATGGAGGCGGACATGTACATATAAAGCACATCATCATCTCTCCATTGGTTGATGTGGAATGTTATAATCCACCCCCTTTAGGGGCCCGACTTCCTCATCGGCACACTCGCACCATACGACAGAGTGGCTCTAATACCAAATTATCACATCTCAGGATCGGCTCCGCCGTAGCACAATATTGTCCGTTTTGAGACCCCATCTATGCTCTCACAATTTTGTTTCTGGAAACTTATGAGCAACTTTCTAGTGGGTCATCCATCTTAGGATTGTTCTAACCCCAATTCGCTTAACTTCAGAGTTCCTATAACTCCGAAAAGCCAATGAGCTCCCAAAAGGCATTGTGAAAGATGGAGGCGAACATGTACATATAAGACACATCACTCCCTCTCCATTAGTCAAAGTGGGATGTTACAATCCAAGTTGAATTAGTGTGATGCAAGTTAGAGTAGATGTCATACTTAACTTGAGTTTTGCTTCTTGCAATTAATACCATGAATGACTAATTATAGATGCCATGCAGTTAGGGTTTGTGTGATCGCTACATAATTTCCATAGAGCTTAATGGGTCTTTATGTGTCGAATTCATCTAGATGCCATAGAAAATTGCATGGAAAGACACTTTTGATATAACCAGATGCCATGGCCATTGAATAATTTAAGGAAATTGATTATCAATAAGGGGAATTGCTTGGAATTGATATGCTAAAGGATTGGGTAGGATTGGTTAAGATGAAATTGTTATATTTTCTATATAAGTGTCCATGATTTTTTCATACAACCTGAAATACATAGAAGACATACCTGACACCATCTTCCTTGAGCACACAATCTCAGCACATTCAATTGCAGTAGCAACAACTTTGGCAAAAGACACGAAATGGCTCAAGACTTCTGCTCTCTCTCAGAAACTGTTTCAGCTATCTTTTTATGATGATATTAGGTTTAGAGAACGTGTTTGACGAGAGCAGGGTCTTAAGTTTATATAGGGCTAGATCAAGTCATCTCCACTCATCATCAATGGCCGACTTGACTAACACTCTAAGCCCATCAAACAACAGTTCACACAAAAAGAAATAAATATGATCCCTTTAATTAGCTTTAAAACTTTTCTTATTTCACAAGGTTTTGGGCCTCAAGGTATAATCTAATTTAAACTCTTATCAAACCTGATATAACTTAGTATCTAGTGCACCGATCTAAATAGGAATATAACATAAATTAGATGCTCTAGTGTTTTTCTCTCTTGGTTTTCATAAATCCCTTGTGTCGTGCACTTGTCTTTAATTTTAATTGCTTTCTTTAATTCTAGTTTTTCTCAATTACAAATTCAAATCAATTTCATCCGTTAAAGTTTCTCAATTTAAAATTAGTTTTAGTTTAATTATTAGGAATATTAAGAATTAAGTCAATTCTTGTGGGATGATATCTGTGCTTACTTAGCTATATTATCTTTTGATTCATATACTTGCAAGCATTAAAATTTGATTAATTTGATAAACCTAAATTTCGCAACAACTGTGTTTTTTTGACTCACATTTCTAATGAAGTTTTTTACTTGACAAAGAAAGAAAAGAAGTCCATTGCAAGAAATAAGATATTGATTTGGAGAAAGAACTCATTAAAGAGAATGATTAGTTCCAATTCAAGTTTTTTTAAATATATATGTGTGTGTTGTATTAGTGTTATAGCCGTTAGATTATATTTAAATGAGGTGACATATAAAGAAAAAAAGTCAAGTAAATTCTAGTAGATGAAATGAAAGTAGAGGATCCAATCGAATCAATTAAAATTGTAATCGAGTATAACCTAGGCTAAAAACCAAAATTATATTAACTTTTTCTTTTTCCAACACCCATTTTCTTAAATAATAAAAGAATCCATTTGTCACTGGCTTGAAATTTTCAAATTAAAAAGAGAAAAGCTTTTCGGCCGTAGATAAATGAGAAAGAAGGCCCAAGCCCACTGATAATGGGTCACCAAATTATTAGAAGGTCTCTTTCTCTCTCTCTCTCACTCTCACTCTCTCTCTCTCTCTCACATAAAAGGGCGAAACTTCGCCGCCTCTCGGGCTCTCAGCCACTGCCTTCCTGCTCCTCGCTCTCTACCCCCTCCTAAAACCTCAGCGTGCGACTCTCACCCTCTCTCCACACACACAGATATATATTCATATATTCATCGTTCCCACCTTCACAGGTAATAATACTAGTGTTATTCTATCCGTTTCATTTCTGTTAATTCCTCGTTTGGTTCCCAAGAAAATGGAGTGAAAATATATCAAATAAAAAATGGAAAATTGATTCTTTTGTTTTTTGGAGAATGAATGAACAGGTGTTATACCTGGCTCAGTTGATAGAAATTCTTTTTTTTATTACTTGTTTGCAAAATGAAGAAACTGAAAGATTGAAGACTTTTGTTTGTTGTGGTTTTCCAGACTTTGCTCTGTGTTATAACTTATATGTAGGCCTTTCTTTTTATACTTAGTCTTACCACTGCAACTACTGTTTCGTTTTGTTTTGTTGTTCTTTTTCCTTTTATATTATTACTTGATTTGAAAAATAATGCTTTCATGCCTAGTTTGGGGAGGAGGAAAGGAGGCTGCGGCTTTGAATTCGTGCATTTTGAATTAGTAGGAAAGGAAGAGGCTTTCCATGTTTTTGAACTGGTTATATTTGATAAATGTGTAAAGCACTATATGTGTGTGTACATATGTATCCGTATGAGCACAAAAGTAATACTTGTTTCCTCTCTCCTTTTTAGTTGTTTGTCTTTCGGGGCTTTTATGTCCTTCATCTCGTGTGATATTGTTTAGTGGCTTACGAAATGCAGTGTGCATGCTTTTTTTTTTTTTTTTCCTTCCTGTGTTTATTCATGTGTGGTGCTTATGTTTTTGGTGTTTTAATAAATCTTTGCAGAATAGGTGGTGAAAATGGCTGGAAAGTCGAATAAAGGGAGGAACCGTAAAGTGGCACATAATGCTGCAAATTCTTCTGATGCAGTGGTCCCGACTGATGCTCCTGTGAAAGATAACTCAAGCGCTTCAGAGCCCATCAAAGCTGATGCTAATGGTGTTTCAGCTGTGGAAGAATCAACTGAGGGCAAGCCAGAGGCAAAAGAGTCTGAAACAGAGAATTCAACCAGCCAACCTAAGCAAGGTGAATTTGGTACCTTCAAATATTTCTTCCACTTGTAAATACCTCTAGTCAATATGCCATTCCCATATTCACCCTCTCTCGAATCTTTAATCCTTTTCAATACAACAATTAACCACCTGAAGGCAATGAGAAGCAATGTACATACATAAACATTTATAACTTTACACAAACTCGCATGTGTTTAAAAAATCTGCAGGCACTTGTATAATGTAACCATGTTTGTGTAAGTAATTTAAGATAGTACAAAATAATTACATTTTTCTAGGTAAGTGAAGGCTTCGTTACATACAAAAGACATGTCCACCACTTCATATCTTTTAGCTGACACACAGGAAGTACTTATAAAAACACAAGACATGAATACTGCATGGGCATATAGGAAAGGATATAACATATTGATTTAGCAGATGGAGAAAGTCACACATACACACACATACACGCATATGTAGCTTCTTTCATATTCAACAAAACAAAGGATGAAGGTTAAGAGTGGACTCTCTTCCTTTCTTTCTCCTCTCAAGTGTGTCTTTTTATTGTTGCAATGCTGTCATAGCAAGCATACCAGAAAGATGGTATCATAGTGAGAACTTTGGACTGATAAAGGCTTTCGACACACAGATTTTTATTTATTTATTAATGATAAACTCTATGTATTTGTATATTTTAATGAAAAAATCATCAAGATGTATGGACGTGTTTTGCACTTTTTTAGAGGCAATCCAATGCATTTGACATGTGACCACTACCCCCCCCCCCCTCTCCCAATTCTATAGCCGTGCTTTCTGGAATGTACTATTAACTTTAGCTGGATTATTCCTTTGTTTTTTTGGTCCTCAAACGTGGACATGGACTTATTTGTACAAATAATGGCTTAATTTCATCACATTTGTAGGTCATGACTGAATGCCTATATAACTTTTCAATCAAGCTCATTTACCTTCAAAAGCGGCGACCATTTAGTTTTTTGTTCTTGTTATTTTGAGCTAAGTTTTTAACTTTTTTTTTTTACTCATTCTGATTTCCCTATCCGTGAGAGTGCAGGCGACCTTCATCTGTATCCCGTCTCTGTCAAGACACAAAGTGGCGAGAAGCTTGAGCTACAAGTGAGTTAAGTTTGATAATATATTGCTTGTAATTTCACTGAATATGTAATTGGTTGCAAAATGCAAAAGGTGATGCAATTTGAGCACCCTGTCCATGTTTGTCAACTCACACTTTATTTTGATAGTTGATTATGGATATTGATATAATTATGTAATCTAATTAGATATTTTGTGTCCTTGAATCCATTTTACCTTATCCATTATAATATGCAGTTGAACCCTGGAGATTCTGTTATGGATATAAGACAGTTTCTGCTTGATGCGCCAGAGACATGTTTCTTCACATGCTATGACTTATTGCTACACACAAAGGATGGCTCCACTCATCATTTGGAAGACTTTAATGAAATTTCTGAAGTTTCTGACATTACGATTGGTGGTTGCTCCTTGGAGATGGTTCCTGGTATACTAACACTGTGTTGCTTTTGGGGTTATAAGATCTTAAAGGATCTTCTAATGTGAATATTTTTCTGCAGCTTTATATGATGATAGATCTATAAGGGCTCATGTTCATCGTACACGAGAATTACTTTCCCTGTCCACACTTCATGCGTCACTATCAACATCACTTGCATTACAGTATGAGACAGCACAAAACAAAGTATCAAGTCCTGGAGGTTTGGGATTTTTGTTCAGTTAACGTAAATTCATTCTAATATTCTCATTTATTGTACCTGTTATCTACATTGGGGATTACTTTTAACTTGGGACTCTAATTCACTGTGATCTAGATACCACAAAAACTGAGGTCCCAGAGCTTGATGGTTTGGGTTTTATGGAGGATGTTGCCGGTTCATTGAGCAATTTGCTATCATCACCCTCGAAAGAGATCAAATGTGTGGAGAGTATTGTGTTTTCATCCTTCAACCCCCCACCAAGCTATAGAAGGTGAACCATAAATTCTCTTGCTTGCATCTTATGACATAAAATAAAATGTATATTTTTTCCTGGGAATTGTCTTATCTTAACTATGTGCTGTCTGGCGTTTTTGTTTCCAGGCTTGTTGGGGATTTGATTTATTTGGATGTAGTGACAATGGAGGGTAATAAACATTGTATTACGGGGACTACCAAACTGTTTTATGTAAATTCAAGCACCGGGAATACTCTTGATCCTCGGCCGAGTAAAAGCAATTTGGAAGCTACCACACTTGTTGGACTTTTGCAAAAGATCAGCTCTAAGTTCAAAAAAGGTAATTGAAATGGTTCAGACCTTCTTTACCTTTGTTTTTTTTCTCCTCTTTGAAATTTACAGAAGTTTGATTAATTATATTCTATTGATTGCAGCTTTTCGTGAAATTTTGGAGCGGAGGGCTTCTGCACATCCTTTCGAAAATGTTCAATCTTTATTGCCACCAAATTCATGGCTAGGGTTATATCCAGTTCCAGGTGAGCTTAACTTTGTTGGACTTGAATACTTTTAAATGAGGATTTTGGGGTTGTAGAAGGTGTCACTTTTGTGATGTAATAATAATTTCCTCGAGAAGATTTCACAAGATCTCCATATTTTGCATGTCTGGTAGCCTGGCTAATTTTCTGGTTGCCTCTTTCAGGCATTACTGCTACTGATAGAGATTACTGTTTTGCAAATTTTATCTTCAATTCTGCTTAGTGAATATCATTTCTTTCCTAAAGAAATAAAGAAAATAGATTATAACAATTATAAAATTTAATGCGTGTGCAGCCTGCTTTTGTTATGATACTTAAGCATGATAAGTTTTTTTTGTTGTCTTCAAATCGGCATGATAATTGACTTTGCGTTCAGTTTAGAGTTTAACAAAGTCTCAATCACAACCTTTTTTGTATCATTTGTATGGTTTTAGAAGGAAGTAATCTCATCCGTTCATCATTACCTCGTTATAATGTTGCATAATGTTTCTTGCTTGATCATAAATATTTATAGAGTTCCACTTGACATGTGAGTATTTTCAATTTTACCTGTATGTTTTCTTTGTCTCAATACTTCTTCTAAATTCTTGCCAATTTTTTATTGTCTTTTGGGGCTATGCGTAACCCAAAAATGAAAAGGAATTTTATAATAGTCCATAGTTAAAGTGGGAGAGTTCACCCACGGTACATGTAATTTATTGTCACTTTATGTGGTTATAATTCTTGATGTAATTTTTTAATGTAAAATATTTTAGGGCATACAGAAGTTGGTTTTCTGAATTTTAGTGTTTGCTTGATGTTGTGTTTTATCTTCTTCACATATGAATACATTTTAAAGGATCTACTATTGTCAGATCACGAGCGTGATGCAGCCAGAGCAGAGGATGCCCTTACTCTCTCCTATGGTAGTGAGTTAATTGGCATGCAAAGGGATTGGAATGAGGAGTTGCAATCTTGTAGGGAATTTCCACATACAACTCCTCAGGAAAGGTAATGATCTCTGATAGAGTGGGTTCTAAAAGTTATGTATGTCCTTTAGTATTTTCCATTCATTAATTACTTTATCACTTAATCTGTGATTTTTAGATTCTTGTGTCGTTATCTCACACGTAGGCCATATTTTGCAGAATTTTGCGGGATAGGGCTCTTTACAAAGTGACTTCAGACTTCGTTGATGCAGCTATGAGTGGTGCTATTGGAGTCATTAGCAGATGCATACCACCTATAAATCCCACTGATCCAGAGTGCTTCCACATGTTAGTCTGACCTGAAAAGGATTGCCTTTTTTTTTTCTTTTTAAAAAATACATATTTCCATGAAGACATCAATTAGGTACTCTATGTCTATGCAGTAAATTACATTTTGTTAGCTGCCTTAGTGGTGGTTACTCTATGACCCGGCTCCCCAGTAAACTAAATACCACTACCTTTTTGTTGGCATCAGATATATCAATTTACTCCAGTATTAAAATCATTTTATCTGGCTAGTTAATATACCCAAGTTTACTGTAAAATTTTGTCAATATCCATTACTTGTGTGGTTGGTGCATACATATAATATTGAATCTCTTTTACTGTAACTCTGATTAGTAGTCATGATGGATCAGACCAACATTGCCATATGAGGGTTTCTACATTGAGTTCAAAGTTCGAAGCTTTACATTAAATTGTCTTTGACATATTATTCATTCTTATTTTGATTGAGTTGGGAGCATTTTTGCTCACCACTTTAACCCAAGATGTATGCTTACCATCCTTCTCAACAGTTGACACGTGTACATAAGTATAACCATGGTTACATAAATCAAAGTAAAAAGTTAACCATGGTTATGCCTATGGACACGTGTCAAATATTAAGAAGGGTGGTGAGCATACACCTTGGGTTAAAGTGGTGAGCAAAAATATTTCCTTATTGAGTTTGGTAATTATGTACTATCTAGGCAATACATTTTCTGATGGTATGGTTGTAACTTTGATTCTTATGACACATGCATGCTTTTGTTAATAATAGATTCATGGAAATATGAATTGATATAAGATGTTGGTTTTTTTGGCTCTAGGTATGTCCACAATAATATATTCTTCAGTTTTGCTGTTGATGCGGACCTTGAGCAGCTGTCTAAGAAACATGCAGATTCTAGTTCAAAGATCGGGAGCACTGGCTCTTTACGCAATTCTTCTGAGAAGGCTCCTGATAGCTTGTTGCATGGAGAGAGGGGAATTCCCAATGGGGAAAAATGCGATAGATCAAGTACAATGGAATGTCATGTTGCCATGGAATCGGCTCCTGATGTTTCTGCTGAAACACAATTGGGTGAAACCGAGCAGGCTACTTATGCTTCTGCAAATAATGATTTGAAAGGCACCAAGGCATACCAAGAAGCTGATGTTTCTGGACTTTATAATCTCGCTATGGCCATAATTGATTACAGGGGACATAGAGTAGTAGCTCAGGTGTGTCTCGAACCGGATGTTCTTTGTATGTATTATAATTTTTTTCGTCTTAGGAGTAACTGGTAATCCTAGTGCTGCACCTTTCCTGGACATAAGTTCAAAGGTCAATTTTGAAAACAATTGTCTATCAGAGCTTGGCCGGCCCCACTCCACCATAGAAAAAAGTATAGCGAAAATTGTCTTTTTAATTGCTGAACTCGACTGTGTTTCATACATAACATAAATGACCATAAATTTTTTTTTCTTTTCATTTGCATGTAAGTTTCTAGGGTTTTCATTTGCTTTGGATTTTTTTATACCTTTTTTTTGTTTTTTTTTTTAGGAACTTTTTTTTTAGTTATCTGATTGCTCTCTCCTTGTTTTATTTGTTATGCGTTCACTGCAGAGTGTTTTACCGGGCATTCTTCAAGGGGATAAATCAGACTCTCTTCTATATGGTTCTGTTGATAATGGAAAGAAGATATGCTGGAATGAAGAGTTCCATTCCAAAGTGAGGGAGATCTAAGCCCGGATTATTTTATTATGCTACCAATTTTTTCATATTTCGTCATCTTAAGTGAGAAAAACTGCGTATGTCCTTCTTCAGGACTAGAATTTCTTGTGAAAATTCTAAGATTTTTGTATGCTTAGGTGGTGGAAGCTGCTAAACGCCTTCATCTGAAAGAACACACTGTCCTTGATGGATCTGGAAATGTTTTTAAGTTAGCAGCACCGGTAGAATGCAAGGGTATTGTTGGTAGTGATGACAGGTAATTTTTAATTCTCGGAACTTATCTAAGAAAATTTCATCAGCTCTTATGAAACTTCTTGCATTAAAGATCTATTCGTGCTGACCTAACTTAGTACACCCATGCATATTCTTTTTTAATTCTGTTCCCTGCTTCAGGCATTATCTCCTTGACTTGATGAGAGTAACTCCACGTGATGCAAACTTCACTGGGCCTGGGTCCAGATTTTGTATCTTGAGGCCTGAACTAATTACTGCTTACTGCCAGGTAAGATATGATATCTGATATCAATACTGTCTTTGAATTCACTTCTTACGTTTCTCATGTTAGCCTTTTTTTTTTCTTTCTATTGGATTAAGGTCCAAGCTGCAGATAAACCAAAATGTAAGTCAAGTGAGGGAGAAGGTCATGTCACCAAGGATTCTCCAAACATCACCGATGTTAAAGAGGTGAGAATTTAGCTGATGCAACTTTAGCTTATAGAGGTTTTGAAGGTTGTATTGTTGTTAAACTTGTTTATACTTTTTCAACATGTCAGTAAAGTGTGTTAGATTTTTATATTTGTCATTAATCCTTATTTATCCGGAAAGGGGGTTTCTCATTGTTTTTGGAGTTATAATTCACCTCTTTTTTAGTATGTTAAGAATGTGACAGGTACACTTATTGGCTATTTGGCATGGTATAGGATGAGTTCGTTTGTCATTTTGTTGCTTTTCACAGGACATAACAGAAGAAGGGAAGGACACAGATGCAGAAGGTGCTTCTCCACCCACCGACAACTCTGAATCATGCAAAGGAACTCTTTCCAACCCTGATGCCTTAACTGAGTTTAAGGTGGCTGGAAGTGAGGAGGTGTGTTTTGGACCTTTTGATTATCTGCTTTATTTCTCACTCATTCTGATTTAGCGAGGGGGTTTCTCATTGTTTTTTGTGTTAAAATTAACATGTCTTTTAGTTTAAGAATGTTACAGGTGAACTTATTGGTTATTTGGCATGGTATAGGATGAATTCTTTATTCGCCTTCTAGTAATATGGGCGATGTCTCATTTTATTGCTCTTCACAGGACATAACGGAAAAAGGGAAGGCCACAGATGCACAAGAAGGTGCTTCCCCACCCACGGACAGCTCTGAATCATGTGAGGACATTCTTTTCAACCCTAATGTCTTCACTGAGTTTAAGTTGGCGGGAAGTGAGGAGGTATTTTTTGGACATTTTAATTTTCTGCTTTGTTTCTCACTGAGTTTAAACCTGTATAAATTATTTTTTTCCTTCCTGTTTCCAGGAGATTGCAGCAGACGAAGGAAATGTGAGGAAAGCCAGTGTGTATCTTACAGATGTTGTGCTTCCGAAGTTTATACAAGACCTTTGCACACTTGAAGTATCACCAATGGATGGGCAAACACTAACTGAAGCACTCCATGCTCATGGAATTAATGTTCGCTATATTGGGAAAGTAAGGATTATGGTTTTTAATAAATCCTTCGCACTTTGTAACTTCTACTAGCTTGTAGAAACTGTGGATGTATTCTTTTTCCTCTCCTAGTAAGGGTTTATATAAATTGGAATGTGCAAGGTCTGGGTGACTGATTGCCTTGAATGGGATATTGCTTTTGACACCCTATGGATGTTTTCAACAGGTGGCTGATGGGACCAGACATTTACCTCATCTTTGGGATCTTTGCTCTAATGAGATTGTGGTGAGATCGGCAAAGCACATTCTCAAGGTGATAAGCATTTCCTTGTATGGTCTGTCTCATGTTATGAGGTTATAATAACTGAAATGTTGTCCTGTTGGGACCAGCAAATGTTGATATGTTACAGGGTGGTATTTCCATAAAAATTATGTTGTAGTCGTAAGCTAAGTAATTTGATTCAGGTCTCTAGGAGGGATACAACTCCCGTGAGTCCTCAGATAGCAGTTTCATGATAATTTTTTTTTTTTTTTTGAGTTGTTGCTTACTATATCTAAAGGGATTTAGCCAAACATATTCTTGTAAGATGCCTGCTTGACGATTAAGCGGCATCCATTAGACTGTTTCAGTTGTTGAAGTAATCTTTATGCCTCAAATAACGTCTTCATTTTCGTTCTACACCATCCTTCTCTTCCCAAACACAGTATAGTCAGAGAGAAGGAATTCCTAGTACAGCAAATAAATATACTTCCCTGCAATACATTCGTGTCCTTGCTCTTGTTACAGTATGAGTTTGTTACTTTTTCAGTTTGAGGTGCAACTTCTCCTAGTGGTACCTAATGTCTGTAACTGAGCTCTTATATCGGATTACTTTTTTTTTATATACCTGTTTCAGACTTCATTGTAACTGTTACAGACATTGAGAAATATCAATCCATGTGAAACCTTATTTCTTGCTGTTACATCAAGGACCTGATTGGTTTTTACCATGACTAGAGAACAAGTAGGAAAGGTGGAAGGATGGATCTGAAATAGTAATTAACACCTATGAGATAACCAATCCAAGGCTTCATTTTTGAAGCAGGCCCATGTATCCGAGAGTTATTATTGACTGAGCACACTCACACAATTGTCAATGTTCAGTGTTCAATCTTTTTGTCTCTGGTGGAAAGTGGTTCATGGTCTTTTCTACTTTCTTGTCTGCAGGATGCCTTGAGAGAAACGGATGATCATGATATTGGGCCTGCAATCTCCCATTTCTTCAACTGTTTTTTCGGAAGCAGTCAAGCTATTGGCTCTAAAGTGGCTGCTAATAGTGTGCAGTCTAGAACCCCCAAAAAAGTATGTTTTATAGTATCAACTAGAAAGAAAGTTCGGTGCTAAGTTGTTCTAAGCTAATTCTTGATCCCTGTAATCTCTTTAAAGCTCATCTGAGTACTGTTTTGCAGTAAAAAGTTGCAACTATATGCGGTTTACTATTAACGTGAACTTTTTGGGAATCACAAATGTTTTTAATACCAAGCATATCTCAGCAAAACTGGTCTATTTATTGAGTTTGAGGAACCTGTTGTAACTGTAAGTTCCTTTATCTTCAGGAACAAACAGGCCATCAATCATCAGGAAAGCTGTCCAAGGGACAAGGAAGATGGAAGGATGGAGCATCTACAAGAAAGAATCAATCCTCATTTATGCATGTTAGCTCAGAAACTCTATGGTCTGACATTCAAGAATTTACAAAGCTCAAATATCAGGTATCAATTATCAATAATATCTGACTCTCCAGGAAGAATTTGACATCCCTGAATAACTTTTTGATGCGATGAAATTATGCTCCCTGAATAACTTTAACGGGTCACAATTCTTTGTTGAGAAATATGTACACCCCGTGGGGATCTCGTTGATTTTATTTCCATGGGCCATTTTCCATATTGTTTCATAACATTTTTCATTTTTCTGGGCTGTATAAATTAAAATGGACTTGTATATGTTTTGTGGGATCTCCAAGTTTAGTACTTGGTCCCCAAAAGGATATCTTTGATTGGTGTTTATTAACCTATCGTTTTATGTAATTTGCCATTGATGATAGTTTGAGCTGCCAGAGGATGCTAGGACTCGTGTAAAGAAAGATTCTGTTATACGTAATCTTTGTCAGAAGGTAACTATAAATTCTTCTGGTCCAATTTACTTGGTTGCTACCCAAATTTGCTTCACAATCACTGACGCTTCTAAGTGGTGGACAAATTGACTTTGGTTTCATTCGCAGGTGGGCATTACAATTGCAGCTCGCAGATATGATCTTAATTCTGCAGCACCTTTCCAAATATCAGATATCTTAAATCTTCAACCTGTAGTGAAACACTCAGTTCCTGTGTGTTCAGAAGCTAAGGATCTTGTGGAAACAGGAAAGATCCAACTGGCAGAGGTATGCACTGTATTCTGTTTATCAATGATTCTTCAAAGATTTTGTATCTTGGTATTGTGATAGCATTAGGTTCAGGGTGTAAAGAAACGTTCTCAACCAGAAATATAATCTTCTGTGAGAACCTTGAAGTCAATGCTAATTCCAAACGATGGCCAAGACTTTAATTTGAAGTTATATTAATATAAAGAATGTCAGGGTGTATATTTTTATATCTTTTAGTTCTGGGATACATTTACGATGAATCTGATGATGACCAATAATTGTTGTATTAGAATATAGAGATGCTGCATTTCCCATGAAACCAAACTTGTTTTAGTTCTGCAATAATCTGAAATTTAAAGAAGCATTCAACTTTAAGGTGTTGGTTTTTTATATTTATTATAATTAATTTGGGATTGTTCACTGGAAGAATTTATATAGGTTTGGCAAAAATCCCCTCAAAATCTGAAACTTTGCACATGTCCTAATATCCCATTATGAGTTTGTTATATATGAGTCCCCTTCTTAAGAGGGATCCCTTTGATAAGAACCGAGGGATGGCTTTGTTGAGGCCACAAGGCACTGTAGTTCAGTTGTCTAATATTTAGATCCCCATTTAAGAACTGTCCTTTGCAATTCTCATCGAAAGGGACCCCTTTCATTAAGGGCATCAAACTTATTGGGTAAAACTGCGAAAATGGTGAAATTTGCAAAAATGGAATTGCAGCAGAAAATGCCATGGATCCTGGTTCTCAAGCTTTGTATATATATGATAAGAAACATAAACTTTAGCTACGGTAAAACTATTAGATCAAAACCAAGTGCAACAGTATTGTGCTGTAGTGGACGAGGCAGTTCACCACCGGATAGTAAAACTCAACTGCACACCTAACATAAACTAACACAACAGAAAAATCCCAATAAACAGTCTTCCCCTGTCTGCATGAAGCGTAAGAATGGAGTATCTCTGAACTCACATGATAGTGTGATGCTTGCAACAAAGTTCAGAACTGTACTCTATCCCACAAAAATGCATCCACTGGTTTTCCTCAAAAGAAGGGACGGATATAGAACAAAATCATGATGGGATATGAGGACATTAGGACATGCACAAGTTGCAACTAGTATCAGTTCGTTGTGATTGACATCATGTTCAAATAATAATGTGGTTTGTCACTTATCTTGCACTTCTTATTTCAGGGAATGCTGAGCGAAGCCTACACATTATTTTCTGAAGCATTTTCGATACTTCAGCAGGTGAATAATTTTATTTGGGTTGTTATCTTAAATTTACCATGAAATGTGCGTGTCTAGTACTATTATATCCTCTCTGTTTTGTGATTGCAGGTTACTGGTCCAATGCATCGGGAGGTTGCAAACTGCTGTCGGTATGCATCGCCTCCTGAAACTGTTCGACAGATTTGTTTCTAATTTTAATTAGTTATTCATTATGCACATTACATCTAAAGCTGATGTTGTTGCTGTACTTAATTTCAGGTATCTTGCCATGGTCCTATATCATGCAGGAGATATGGCGGGAGCCATAATGCAACAACACAAGGAACTAATTATAAATGAGCGTTGCCTGGGTCTAGACCACCCTGACACTGCTCACAGGTATTGGGTTCTTGTGTTTATTTTTGTTTCATTAACTGAGATGGTTGTTGAATACTTATTCTGAATTGAATTTCTGTGTTAGTCTCGTACTATACGATTATATAACATATACTGAAACTGTTTACTATTGTTAAAATTCTGTGATATTTGGGTGCTCTCTTGAGGATTACAATGCAAATTGTCACGTTTCCTTTTTTTAAAGATATATTTCCAATCAATGCTGGGGTAAATATTGGAGTCTTGGCGAGATTGCCCAGTACTGACGTTAACTGTGTGATTTATTGGATTATTTCTGCTGATGTTCGTTTCTGTGCCCCCTCAACCCCCTTCCTTCTCCTGTCTTCTGATATTTTGAGTTACAGTGAGGTAGGAAAAGTACCCATCCTACATGCTAACTCACTAATAATCTAGAAATGAATGAAATTAAGGAAGAAACGTTTAGTTAATTAATATTAATAAAAAGAAATATTATCTACTTGGACGCCATGAACTGAAAGTGGATGTAGTGTATCAGTTTGAAATTCTTATATGAATTAGTTGGTTTTTTTATAAAATTTTTGTTAATAGTGTTCAAACACTTGCCTGTAATGATTGATTTTATTCTCTCTCTCTCTCTCTCTCTCTCTCTGTTTTTCTGGATTTGATTTTGGGCTCCTTCATTTGCAACTTTGCTATGGCAGCTATGGAAATATGGCTCTTTTCTATCACGGACTTAATCAGACAGAGCTTGCATTACGACACATGTCCAGGGCATTGCTCCTGCTAAGTTTGTCATCTGGCCCAGATCACCCTGATGTCGCTGCAACCTTCATTAATGTCGCTATGATGTACCAGGATCTTGGGAAGATGGACACTGCCCTTCGATATTTGCAAGAGGCTTTGAAAAAGAATGAGAGACTTCTAGGGGAGGAACATATCCAGACTGCTGTATGCTATCATGCACTTGCTATTGCATTTAATTGTATGGGTGCCTTCAAACTCTCTCACCAGGTATGTCCCTTTTGTAAATAGAAAATACAAAACTAAAGGCCATCCAAATTCCACAAATTGACAACCCCCCCAACCAAAAGTGATATCTTGATCTCTGCATCTCTGCTTCCATGTTTGGGCTTCTTTTACGCACGCGCGCACACACCCATGTATGTGCATGTGTTATCACATGTGTGTGATTATGTGTATTTATGTATACAGGCATGGAAAACATAGAAAGAAAATTGAATATTACTGTGGCTCTGTAGTGGACGAGTTTTTTGTTTCAATACTTTTTCGCTGTTGTCAAAAATTTGTTTTTCCTTCATATAGCATTCTAATACATAGAAGCAATAAAATGAGTGAAAAACGAAAGAACAATATTAAAAGTAGTGTTTAATTTAGATGTCATTGAATAAGTGGAAGAATAATGATGACATTTTGCCTCCTAATGTGATTTTCACTTGATAGAAAATGATTTCACTGTTCCGTATGACACTTGGTGTTGCAGCATGAGAAGAAAACCTACGATATACTTGTGAAACAATTGGGCGAGGAGGATTCAAGAACACGTGACTCTCAAAACTGGATGAAGACATTTAAGATGCGTGAGCTACAGGTATTTGTACCTTGCATGGTGAAATCATACTGCAGGTTGGTTGCATATACTTAATTACCATTTGGTTCTGATTCTTAAACTTTTTTCTCTTGTTTGAAAGATGAATGCACAAAAGCAAAAAGGTCAAGCTTTGAATGCTGCTTCAGCTCAAAAGGCAATCGACATCTTGAAGGTACTTTGGATGCTCCTTTTTGCTAATGAGTTCAAAATCTTGTTGAATTGAAGGATAATTTGTGGTTAGTTTTTTAAATATCTTCCCAAGTCATATTCTTATTGTTGCCTATTCCTATTCTGCGTCCTCTTCATTTCTAATTTCCATGAAAGGCTCAGAAGCCTAGTTTTCGTGTGCTTTCTGCACACTAGATATTCTGATGTTTTTTTGGAATCTTTTATTGGAAAAGAAAAGGAGATAACTGTAACTTATTTGGAGAGCATTTTGTAAATGTTGCTAGGATACTAATCCTTCGGTCTCCAGATGTTGAGACCCTCTTTCGTATCTCGTGGTATAATTTACACCAAGAATCTTGATTTCCAGTTAATAGTTAACTTTGCATGCCAGGCCCATCCTGACTTGATGCAGGCATTCCAATCTGCTGCCATAGCCGGTGGGTCTGGGAGTTCTAACCCTTCTGTCAACAAATCTCTTAATGCCGCAATAATTGGTGAAACTCTTCCACGCGGTAGGGGAGTTGATGAGAGGGCTGCTCGTGCAGCAGCTGAAGTTAGGAGGAAGGCAGCAGCAAGGGGCCTCTTAATACGTCCACATGGTGTTCCAGTCCAAGCCTTGCCTCCACTTACCCAGCTTCTCAATATCATCAATTCAGGTGCAACCCCAGATGCAGTAGAAAATGGAGAAACTGATGGAGTAAAGGAAGCCAACGGTCATCCTGTAAATGGTCCGGCGGATGCCAAAAAAGATCAATCAACAACTGACCAGGAAGGTCAGCCTCCAGTTGGATTGGGCAAAGGCTTAGGAGCATTGGATGCCAAGAAACCGAAATCAAAAACCAAAGTTGCATCTTGAGATTCAAGTCAGATTTTATTAGCTGACAAGGTGGGTTTCTTTGTGAGGTTTGGCTATTTTGAGGGAAGAAATTTTTCTATTGGTTTAAGGATGAGAACCGAGTCCACTGAACTTTTGGAAGGTAGAGAACTCTTGAGATGTGTATGAAATCCGTGGATGTTCTGTGTAATTTTTTAGTATAATAATCAGGCTTGCAGATAGATTCAGGCAGCAAAAGAGCAATTTCCGGAGCAAATAGGCCCCTTATGTAGGACTTGCCCCTAGTACTGACTGATGGAAAAATTCTGTTGTTTTTTTGTTTCGATATTTACCCAAATTTTAAGAATCATCCGAAAGGAGTTTCAACATAAATGTTTCCTTTCAAGGTACATGTAATACTGCGATCATTGTTTTCCTGATTCAATAAATAAATAAATTAAATTTGACAATTGCTAATCAAACGCTTAATGCAAATGGTGTGTTTCATATGCTGTAACTCGAGCTTTGCTCCTATTACAAGTGAAGGAGAATTTATCAAAAATAGCCAAAACTTGACTTCAAATTTTAAAAATGTCGGCTTCTGTAAAATATTTCTAATATTGCAAAAATTCACCTAAATAGACAAAAATGTCCTCAAATTTAAAACCCACATAAACCTAAAAAAGAAAACCACTCGCCTAGTGTAGTCTAGGAGCTTCAGTAAAATTGAAATACCATTACTTTTAACGTTATTTACTTGTTCGGTGAAACGAAGACGGGACATTGCCCCTCTTTTTGGACCCAAGGCCAGCCTCATGCTGGCCTATTCAGGTGGAAGACGAAAAATGAAAAGGACTCGAAGAGGGGCCCTATGTTACGCTACAAAGTAGCTTATCAACACGAGTTACGTGGAACAAGCCCATTTTTATGTAAGATGTTCTTGTATTCTGTTATTTCTTCTCAGGTAAAAGTGCATCCTTTTACCTATTCAATCTGGAGAAAAAATGGTAGGGGGTTCTTCGGATGCCAATCAGTCTCAACGTACAATTCAGATTCAGCCTAGAAAATTGCTTTCGACTGCCTACTTCTAAAAGAGATAATGCAGTTAATTTACATGGCAGTTCAGATTCAGTTCCAAAAGAAAACATTTCAATCTGTGTTCAATATATTTGTGGTAAAAATAATTATGGACATGAACAAGTCCATTATGATTATAAGATTATAAGTCAATATGTACATTGTCACAAAATTACTGCATGATGATCACAGATCACCTCGCCTAAATGACAAGTACGGATTATGACTTGGAATTAAAAAAAAAAATATTACACAACCTTACAAATAGAACTGCTCAATTGGAATTTGGAACCTAAAATAACTCCGCTTCCAGAATGGGTGGATCCTTTTGCTATGCCTACTTCCTCTCATTCCTTCTCCTTCCAGCTATGCAAGACTAGAAAATATCTTAACAAAGAAAGAAACCTCTCCAGCCCATATTATCAAGATGCTCCGGCAGCAGCACGCTTACCATATTCCCCCTGCTCTTCTTTGGCAAACTCTTCAATTAATTCTCGTTGTCTTTGTGTCAGATTCCTGCGATACAATTACGCGTCAAGTTCCGAGTTACTTAGATAGAACACTGACTGAAAGTCTTTCTGGTCAAAACAGAGGTTACCATATTAACAAGCTATACTAACAAAATTGTTTGAAGCCAGGAGAACTTACGCTGGGATGCTGACATTGAAGTGCACATATTGATCACCAAACGCATAAGAGTTCCTTGTCTTGATTCCTGTTATCAATCACCAGGAAGAAAAGTGAGAACTGACTTTGTTTTATTCACATGAAGTGGAGATTGATAAATTGTATATTCAACCGAAATTACCAAACTGCAAAGTAAAATGGACATGCAGAGGAAACTAGGGCCTATCCAGGAGATGCAGTGGGTAAACTCAAAATTCTTATCAGTGCTAGAAACTATCAACATAATTAGCAAAAAGCATGAATCCAATTTCCTGACCTTTCTTCTTTAGGACTACCTTCTGACCAGGTTGGGTGCCAGCACGGACCTACAAATTAGAAAGCAACTTAAAATATTGCCACATTGAGTATTATAACAACAATAACCTCTACAGAAAATCAAATTTATCTGTCCTTTTCGGTTCAGAACATGTTGGTGACCATGCATGAGTTCCAAAACAAACCTTCAATACAACATCTCCAGTGAGAGTTGGGACCTGAATAGTTCCTCCCAGAATTGCCTGCAAAAAAAAAAACATTTATTAAACCTCTATATACGAATAAATGAATATTTCTCAGTACAAGAAATATGGGAAATCCCAAGTTACAAGAAAGAAACAGCACAGTAGGGAACTCCCCAAAACCATCATTTAAGATCCTTTAGTCTGCCTAGAAACATTATAACTCTCAAGAATCTATGAACAACCCAATAATCATAGAAACTGAACAGAACTTTCATAATTTAGCTGCTTGGTGACCTCGAGGTAATTAGATTAGATACTGCCGAAGTGAAAATAGATCATTCTATTTCTCCATCTCATAATACTCTTCAAGATTTTCTTGCATTAAAGCATATAAACAACACTCTTGAGCACTACAAGATTTAAGCAGTACCTGAGTGATACTCAGAACAGCATCTACATGAATGTCGGCACCTTCCCTACGGAAAACTGGGTCTTCCCTAACCTGCAAACAGAATTAAGATGTACATTTGTAAGACAAAAGGATTATACATACTACCGTACCAATAATGAGAAAGAAAGCAAGGACGTCAACAGCGATTAGAACTTATGCAGGTCACCTTAACGGTAACATAAAGATCACCAGGTTGATTTCCGTCAGGATCAGCCCCACCACTGCTAAACACCCTTATAGTTTCATTGTCATCTACACCTGTAAATGGAAATAAAGTCATTACACCCACCATTACAGAAACAAGCAAATATAGTTCCAAGATTTGTAGTTCGACTTCTTTGTTGCAAATTATGATTCATGATTATTTTAACAAAATGACAAATAATTCCTTTTACGAGAGGCAACCCCACTCAAGTACATAAAATTCCATATATATATATATGTGTGTGTGTGTGTGTGTGTATATATATAACGATTCAGCAAAAATAATGATCCTTGGCAACAGAAAAACCACAATTATCCATTTGGAAGCAACCCCAATGCCTCAAAACTATTGGAAATACCTGGCATGATATCTAACTTGACTGACTTCATTCCAGTTGTGACTCGTTTCCCATTGCATGATTTGCAAAGTGTCTGAAACCAAAAAGTGATGTATTTCATTATAACTCATAACATTTAAAGAGTTATACAGTAAACATTTAGAACTAATACACAATAGGAATACAACATGAAATCGGAGCATAACCATTTAACATTACCCAAGTAGATCTATAAAGAAAGGAAGAGTTTCAAAACTCAATTCTTAACAAAGTAAATCTCATTGATATTCGGATACAAACCTATGCACAAAAGTGCCTAAGTGCATTACATGTATCTATAGGAACACATTAAAATTACATTCAGGAACTCATCTATAAGTATTCATGAAACTCAATTTCAAGCACACTATTATTCACACATAGGAAATCTTCCCATGTTGATTTTCATGTTTGTTTCACTTCCCCCACTTCTTTATTGAACAAAATACGTGCTTCATGAGAAAGTGGGAACAAACCAGCCCACACACACACAGAGAGAACCATTCCAGTACGTAAGCAAATATCTAACAACAGCTGGCCAACAAAAGCAACAATAAAGCAAGTATGAAGTAACAACATTGGGACACTAGGCAGCAAACAAAGACTAAACTTAAAAAATGATGACACAACATGTCTGGAGAACAAAAATAGACAATTAAACTTGTTTGTTGAGTAGTGAAAATGAGTTATTATAGATAAGATGTGAACATACCGGGAAAGTTTTACCAGTTCCGCCACAGTGAGTACAAGTTGTCTGCATCCTAAATGGGCCAGTTTGCATGTAAGTCTGGATATGCAGAAAATCAATGGTTAACAAGAGCAGATGATGTGATATTCTTAATGATCAAATAAATGATAAGGTTTCTGTTCTTAGAAAAACTGACCATGCCAGACCCTTTACAGCGCTTACATGATTCAGGTCTGGTGCCAGGAGGAACACCACTTCCACCTGCAAAGATCCAAAGGCACAAGGAATCAGATAAGAGAGTTTCATTCAAATACTAATGAGCAAAAAACAACTGTAAATGCCACAACAGCATACTTTCAAAAGTAGCAAAGGCATTTAGAAATGAGCAGAATCAGCATACCGCAATCTTCACAGGCCACTGCAGCTGGAAATGTCACAGTTTTAGAACATCCCTGAACAGCTTCCATAAAGGAAAGTTCCAAAGAAACCTGCGTATTTTATGAAAAGAAATCCAGGTCATGAGGCAGATTCTAAAGCACATACACAGATCAACAATAAAAATGAAGAGGGATAAAACCTTGATATCTTGACCACCAAAATTCTGACGAAAAATGTTGAAGATCTAATCTCCATCGGAAACAGCACCCCCCGCCAATAACATGCACATATAATCCAAAGTGAATATAACATCCAAAAAAAGGCAAGAGCAAATAATAAGGAAACATAGATGGTACTTCATTTTGTTGTAGAAAGTATGATATGATTTCTGTGATCATGAAGTTTGAAAGTTCATCAGTAAGAAACCAACAACCCCACATCACATACTAAATTGCAGTAGCACCGACCTTAACAAAACCAGTTACAAATAATAGAAAGAAAGAGAAAGAAAAATAAGAAAGAGCCATGAAGCAGGAACATACGCTTAAATAGGAAAAAACTTCAAATTAGTGAAATAAAACAAACTAAACATAACATGTTTCCACCAGGGCTGGGGCTATCAAGATGATGTGTGAGTGGCATAACCATTTTCCAAGTTAAACTAAGAACTAAGCTTGAGATTGGAGTGTATCCAAATATAATGATATATAGTGCCACATCCACATCAAGATGAAAAAGATTATGTGATGGAAGAGGCTCCTTACACATCCTTGAAATTTTTTGTAAGTTCACAAATTACAACAGCTAGAATATACATAATATATTCACCAGCCACAAAAAAATGCCATGTTAAGTTTTCTTCATGGATGAAGTTGCATAACAGTTAGACTGCATGCAACACCAATTTTTTTTTCTAAATGACACTGTTTTAGTTTACCAAAATTTTGATAAAAAATTTCAAAACTCCCAATGATAAAATATATCAACAATCAAACAAACCTTACTGTAAGGATAAAGTCATTACATTATCATCAAAGATATCTTTAAATGGATTCCTGAAATCATTGGGAAAGCCATTGCCTTGATCTTCAAATGCAGCATGGCCAACCTGCAAAAGTGTACTTAATGACATCAGTGCAGGCATAAATCAACAAAAGTGAATTAGACAAGGAACACGTAAAACCATAGTACAACAGGAGTCCTTCAGTTGAGATCATCATGAAGCTAAAAGGTTTACTTGCCATCACATGGATTTCTAAATACTTAAAGCATTATCGTTTATAAAATGCCTCTCACCTTGAAAATGAAAATTTTCCACCAAATCATCTTAGTAGTTTCTTTTCAATGTGAAACATGCAGAACTACAATCAATTTTGATTTTCTAGGCTATAAGAGGTCTTCTATGTTTATTGAGAAGCACTCTGATTTTTATTTTATTTTTGGGGGGCGGTAAGAAGCAAACATTTTGTTCGACTTGCTGTGTTATTGTTATTGTTTGCTATTATAAATTAACAAAATATAAGGACCTTTCAAGTCTATGAAGACAAGGAATGGGATTATGGGCACCGATATGGACTTCAGAGGTAAACATATGTTAAAACCTTGGGAAACTCTAAATATGAATGGAGTTGAAAATAACATAGTAAGGGAAAAAAGCAGGAATTGCATAACTTAGTTCAAATTGTGCCAGATAAGAAAATTAAAAGAAAGCAAAATGCCCATGAGTAATGACAATAAAATGACCACGCAATTCCCTTGTTGACCACTCAAAAATCAGAATTGTCAGAATGCCAAACTAAATTACTATATCTTATAATATTCTGATCCCAAGGACCCCAAACTATCCAAATTGTAACTGAAACATAGTGGAAATCTCCATCTGGAATATAAATTGGGTAGAATTTGAATCCTACAATTCTCTTATATCACTTTAAAAAAAATATTTGAATGATTTGTCATCATTTTAATACACATAAGGATCTGAAGAACAAAACCAAATGAATTAGTCAAAATTAGTATAAGCCCTAAAGAAGCCCCAACTGGTTCCGCTAAGTCCAGCTAATCACAATTTTCAAAAGCCAATTAAAAATATTAAAAAAAACAGTGTTGCTGCCAACCACATATTAAAAATTATTTTAAAAGAAGAAGTGAGAGACCAAAACAGAACTTGAAACTTCTATATCTTAGCACCACAAGAAATATCAACATGGATGCAAAACTGTTTACCCAAAGCAAATTTTACCCCCATCCAATGTAGTGTCATGTAATACTTACAAAAGCATTAAATACAAGGTGTTACGAGCAAAATACCAAGGACCTATTCCACATCCTACTCAGCAAGAAGCATCTCATCAGGGAGGTATTCGGCAGTTAATTGTTTAATAATCAAAGGTATAAGGCATAAAGATAAAGATCAGAAGTGAAACCTCATCATATTGTTGACGCTTTTCCTCATCTTTTAAAACCTACAACAAAAATTGACAAAGTTGCTTTTTAGTATGTTAATAGTAATAGTCAAGAACTTCGGGAATAGAAAAAATAACCTCATAGGCCTTTTGAACTTCTTGAAACTTCTTTTCTGCATCAGGATCATCTTTATTTGTGTCTGGATGGAGCTTCTTTGCTAGCTGCAAAATAAATAGAGGAGATGATGGATCAAAGTTAGCATGATTCAGAACAGAAAAAACTTGAACCGGGGAAGTAGAATACACATTCGGATTACAACAAACAATGAGTACAGCTGGAAAAACGACTAAACTTCCACTGACTAACTAGAATAGGTACTGACATTATGCCTTATCATTATACACTTCTTATTCTTCCAACAGCCGAACTAACATTATAGAAACTTTCTAAGAATTCTGGAAAACCACTTTAAATGTTGTAACCATTTTAGAATTATAGTTTTATATCCATTACAGTAAAAAATAAGAATCGCACCCAAAATCTTAACTGCATGTCCAAGGTATGTTGTAGATTTCACACATTTATCCATGCTATAAGACTTGAGTAAGTATTTAAATATGTACATTAAGAAAAAGGGAAGTGAAGCAAAGAAAACCTACCCCATAATAAGCTTTCTTTATTTCTGATGCATTTGCATTCTTGCTTACACCCAGTGTATCATAGTAATCTCTTGTGGACATAGATGCTGGCGCATAAAAGGCAGGACAAGCCCCATAATTAAATTCCACATACTCACTTATGTTCTTAGTATCAAAATGAACAAATAATGGCATGATATTGCAAGAAAGTACCCAATAAAGTATAGAAATCCTTGAGCTCCAGTTCTTTTCCACATAACATTTATACCAAAAAAAATTCATAATACGTAGTTTTTCAACTTAAACTAAAGACACAGTTTCATGGTATGTCAAAATCAGACAGGATTTGAATGAGTAAATTATCCCGAATAATTGACGTGCACAATTGCATAAACAAGAATATATTTGTATACACTTGAACAAATAAAGAAAATGAAAACATATGTATGTGTCTGGTACCAGTTCCATGAATTGATCTTGCAGCGAACCAATTGGTATTCAGAGCTCCGAGCAACCAACTTTTTCTACAAACTGCAAAAAAAGGAGGGGGGAGAGGGAAGAGAAAAGGAAATAGAAACAAAAGAATCCATTAAAGGGGAGGAATAAGAAATTTAATGCTCAGTAGAATTCAAAAAACGAAAAGTGGGTGTTTGACCTACCATTATTAGTAGTAGTATAATTTCCTAAAACCCCAGAATTGTTGCAAACCCCAGTCTTGAATGTCCTATAACCGCCTCCAAGCATCCTCCCGCATGCCTGGCAGCAAATCAAACATTATTCAAAGTTAAAAAGCGAAAAGAAAAACAAAAATAATAGGAAATGACAATAATTAGTACAATTAATATCGAAGAAAGGAGAAATAATGAGGAATCATACGGAGGATGTAGGGTTGTGGATGGGGTTGGAGGCAAAAGAGCGACGAGCGAGCCAGTGGGCAAGCCTGACGCCATTGGAGCGAACCATTTGGGAAAGCTGGACGAACCACCCAAAAAGATCAAGTCTTTCGTAGAGTTGGGCTTTTCTAGGGTTTTTGGCGCTGTGATAAACCCTCGAGAAACCCTAAATTTGGAGTCTTTGAGACAGTGATCGAAGGTTCTAGTAGTAGTTGATGGAAGAGAGAGAGAGCGAGAGAGAGAAGGGCCCTGGCCCAATCTTGTGGGAGACACTTTTTCTATTGTTTTGCAAATAAATTATCAAAAAGAGATAATTATAATTAGCGTGTGTTAAGGATCTAATTTTAGCGAATGCGTGCGTGTGTGGTAGAGACCGTTGGCTACTTGCAGTTTGAGGTCATGTGGCCAAGCTGTAGTTTTTCAACTGCCGGTAACCTAGTTAGGCCATATCCAGTCACAAGCTGAATGTAGTCGGGGCTGAAAATTTAGCCCTCCAAATATTAATTTTTAAAAAAATAATGGATGGTTAAATTTTTCGATCTCCAGTCATGCATGACTATATTTTAGGACTCTTCTTATTTTATTATTTTGAGAAAAATTATGGTACAACACTCATATGTTTCATTACTATGTATTGTTTAATTTAATTAAACTACGATTTAGAGACAATATTTTTTAATTTATATATATTTTTAAACAAAATGAATTTCAAACATTTAAAAACGGTTTTAAATAAATAAATAAAAAATAACTTGTCAATCAATGATTATGACCTCCAACGATCAAAAACCAAATATATATATATATATTTAAAACAAAATGAATTTAAAAACATTTAAAAAGGTTATTAAAAATAAAAAATAAAAACCTAACAGCTAGCAGACTTTATCGATGACGTCAATGAGCCTTTAATATTGGCTATTAGATCTGCAGTTGCACGAGATGTTTCGTGCTCTTGCCCACGCATGATACTTTCTCCTCTTAGAAAGCACATGTGCTTGGCCCACAAAAAAATTTGGTCTAGGCCAAAGGGCCAAATGTGGCCAAAAAATTTGTGGTTGAAGATTGATTTTTGCATTATTTTAGGGCTATATTTGGCATATGACCCATGACAGGAAACTAGGTTGTGCCTTGACTTGGCTCTCTTATTTCTTATTTTTTATTTATTTCTTATCCAAGCCATATTGGAAAGAAAGGAGTTGGAAAAGAGGACTTCGGTGCATGAGTAGCTCCGTCCATTTGGGAATGCTTATGTGGGAAGCACTTCAGCTCTTATAGACCTTTTTATAAGTGCAAAATTTATTGATTCTTGAAGAAACATCTAGCAGAAAGCTCTTTTGTGACCTAGAATTACACTATCAGAACATGTTTTTCGTTGTCAGAGAGTGCTTGTAGCATTTTCAGAAACAATCTCAACAACTTGAGTTAAAAATCCCTCACTACTTTATTGTATTTTATTCTAAGGAAAAGGGGAAAAAATACATGGAGAAAGGTTGATCTATTGTAAGATTCACAACACAATTTTGTGAGACGAATTTTGTTGACGCTTGGTATATATCGAGCTCGTCTGCCCAATGAAAACATAACACGTGGACCTTGCGTACCACTTGGCGGAAAACAACCAAACCATCCTCCATCTCGCCTCGGCCTTGGAGCTACCTTGGGGACATTCGAAAGGATATGAATCAGTCATGTCGACGACAAGACCTCTCCTGACAAGAAGTTCGCCCCACCTCAGAAAGAGTGCCCATGTCCTCTCAAAAGCCACGTGTGAACTACCTAACCCACTGCCTAACCAGATGGGACTACAGCCGTGCGGTAGGCTACTTTGTTCGCACTCGCCCCCTAATGAAGACGTGGATGAACCCCGACCGTCCGCCACCTGACAACTTGATGTGACACAAACGGCTAGGCTCCGAGCTGAAGTGACTGGCTCATAAATTATCTTGTTTAAACCCCCTATAAATAGAATCCACCATGCTTGTAAGAAGGGACCTTTTTTCTTGAGAGTCTTGAAAGAATAATAATATACATGGAATTCACAAAGAGTTTTCTGTTACTTATCCTTGCTCTTATCCCAAAATAAACCCGACACAACGAACCAATTCTCCTCACCTTCTCGCTCAGGAATTGCATTAAGTATTTGTATACGTTAGCCACTGGAAATTTGTGGATAAAACAAATTTGAATTGTTGGTCAAGTTAATGTTTGGCAGAACGTGTGATTCAGTAAGTATGTAATTAATATTAATCCTTCGAAGGTATCTGCCTCATGTTCCACCCCATCATTGGCTCAATTAAATAAAATATTTTCATGTACGATACGAGCACAAGTTCAAAATATGAGTCCTTTTGTTAATATGATGTTCGAAAGTTCAAACAGTCAGATATGGCAAAACCACTGACAGACAGATCACTGCATTCATAACAGAACATGAGAAGAACAATGATTGATCCAACAACACTCAAATATTCAAAAACATAATGAAGTCAAGCAATGAATCACATGGTCTTCCTAACAATGCAATGGTTAAAGTAGAAAAGAAATAATAATAATGACAAACCAAAACTTTGACAGAATCAAAATGAGGGAGGCAACAATAATAAATAAGTTGAAGGTAAGAGAGAGTAGAAAGCAGAAAGCAAAGCATCTTTGATCACAACTCATAAACCATGCAGCTTCAGATTTTTGCTTTTTCTTTCTTTCTTAGGCTCCAACTATGCCTTTCATAGCCCTTTCTTTTCCTAACTTTCTTTACTTTACACTTCATGACATTCAGATTGCTGCCTAGCCAAGAAAGGGATGTCCCTTCAACACACACAGATTCAAGTGAATAAATTTTTAATCAGATGACAGTTATACCCTTGATCATAAGAAGAAAAGGATCTCTGAGATTTGATTCTTCATGCCAAAGAAAAGCTAGCCATGTAAGTTTCTTACAGAGGCTTCAAGAACATTTTATTCGTTTTGTACATAAAAAACACAAAAGTTAGCTTTAATTCTTCATCATGTTTAGAGGCTCTTACCTCAGCAAACAAAAAAGAAACAGAATTGAGATGATTCCCAAGCAATGCAGAAGTAATATAAAATAAACAAATTTTGCTTGAAGCATTTGGGACAAAATTAATGAGATAATATTGCCTTCTTTGAGAATTATATGAATGACAGACTTTCCCACACTTTATAAGAAGTTTAAGGCTTCCCTCCATTTTTTTCCGGCTATCTTTCGATTTATAACAGAACTGACAGGCATGGCAGCTTCTTCATCAAAACATTCTTTGCTTCACCAAAATAGCATAGTATCACAGTGCAAGAGAAAGAACCTGAACATTCCCTTTTTTTTTCTTTTTAATTTTGTTCCTTCCTACATAAAACTTCTTTGCTTCTGAAGCTTATTTCAGATTGCTTGAGGGGTGTCACTTCCTCTAGATTCTCACGGCAGCCAAGTAAGCAAAAGGACAATGAAGCTGGTAGTAGAAGTGGTAGATGCTCATGATCTTATGCCCAAAGACGGTGAAGGGTCTGCTAGTCCATTTGTAGAAGTTGATTTTGTAAACAAGCTTAGCCGAACCAAAACTGTTTTAAAGAACCTCAACCCCATTTGGAACCACAAACTTTTCTTTGATATCGACCAAACACGAAATTTCCATCACCAAACCATTGAAGCCTTTGTCTACCATGAGAGGAGATCACCTACTCCTGGCCGAAACTTCCTTGGAAGAGTAAGAATTCCTTGCTCAAATATTGTCACGAAAAGTGAGAAAGCTTATCAAAGATTCCAGTTAGAAAAGAAGTGGTTTTTCTTATCCGTCAAGGGTGAGATTGGTTTAAAAGTATATACTTCACTAGAACCTGAACCAAAATCTCCTCCATATTATCCACCACAACTACTAGAAGACTCTCCTTCTAATTCTCAACAACCACCAGAACACCCAACTTCTAGTCCCTCTGCTCCTCCAAATACAGAAAGCACAAGAACTAATAGCAAAGTATTGGCTACTATTCCCAAAGAAAAAGTCCCTGTAGTAGATAACACTACAGTTATCACAGCAGAATTCAACAAAAAAGTTGCTGCGGTTGCTTTGATTGAAACAAATTCTTCTGCTGCAGCAGCCGGGTCTAGCATTAGTGATCCTGCACAAGATCCAAAGGAGGAGATAAAAGAGCCAGTTGAAGTAAAAGCTGAAACAGCGCATCACATACACAAGCATCAAGTTCTGCAACAACCAGGCAAATCAGTAGAAATACAACATCAAGGTTTCCCATTAACAATGCGGCCAGCTCAACCAGAAGCCCATCATAACCACCAAGATGACTATGAACTGAAAGACACCAACCCACAGCTTGGTGAGAGATGGCCAAATGGTGGAGCACATGGGGGAAGAGGATGGATGAGTGGTGAGAGATTTACAAGCACTTATGACCTTGTTGAACAAATGTTTTATCTTTTTGTTCGCGTTGTGAAAGCCAAAGAACTCCCTCCCAGCTCCATTACCGGAAGCTGTGATCCTTACGTGGAAGTAAAGCTGGGAAACTATAAGGGAAGAACAAGGCATTTTGAGAGGAAAATGAATCCAGAGTGGAACCAGGTGTTTGCTTTCTCAAAAGATCGAATTCAATCATCAGTGGTAGAAGTTTTTGTCAAAGATAAGGAGATGATTGGAAGAGATGATTATCTTGGAAGGGTGGTTTTTGACTTGAATGAGGTTCCAACCAGAGTTCCACCTGACAGCCAACTGGCTCCTCAGTGGTACAGACTCGAGCACCGCCGCGGAGAAGGGAAGGTTAGGGGTGAGATCATGCTTGCAGTTTGGATGGGAACACAGGCTGATGAAGCCTTTCCAGATGCATGGCATTCAGATGCTGCAGCTGTCTATGGTGAGGGTGTTTTTAATATCAGATCAAAGGTATATGTATCACCAAAACTATGGTACCTGAGGGTGAATGTGATTGAAGCTCAGGATGTGCTGCCCAATGACAGAAGCCGCCTCCCAGAAGTCTTTGTCAAAGCTCAAGTTGGAAACCAATTGCTCAGGACCAAGATATGCCCAAGTCGGACTGCTAATCCATTATGGAATGAAGATTTAGTCTTTGTGGCAGCTGAGCCTTTCGAGGAGCAACTGGTTATTACAGTCGAGGATCGAGTCCACCCTTCGAAAGATGAGGTGTTGGGGAAAATAAGCATGCCAATTGACATGTTTGAGAAGCGGCTTGACCACAGGCCAGTTCATTCTCGTTGGTTCAATCTTGAGAAATATGGTTTTGGTATCTTGGAGCCTGATAGGAGGAAGGAGCTCAAGTTTTCTAGTAGAATTCACCTGAGAGTTTGTCTTGAAGGTGGATACCATGTACTAGATGAATCAACCATGTATATAAGTGATCAAAGGCCAACAGCAAGGCAGCTTTGGAAGCAGCCTGTTGGGATTTTGGAAGTGGGCATTCTATGTGCACAAGGGCTTCTTCCAATGAAGATGAAGGATGGCCGAGGGAGCACAGATGCTTATTGTGTAGCCAAGTACGGCCAGAAATGGGTTCGCACCAGAACAATTCTTGACACATTCAATCCTAAATGGAATGAGCAGTACACATGGGAAGTTTACGACCCCTGCACCGTGATAACATTGGGAGTTTTCGATAACTGCAACCTAGGTGGAGGTGAGAAACAAACACCTGCTGCAGGCAATGCAGCAAGAGATTCACGAATTGGGAAGGTACGTATTCGACTATCAACACTTGAAGCTCATCGGATGTACACACATTCGTACCCACTCCTAGTTCTACAGCCTAATGGAGTGAAGAAAATGGGAGAGCTCCAACTAGCAGTTCGATTCACCACCCTCTCTATTGCTAACATGATATATGTTTATGGGCACCCCTTGCTGCCAAAAATGCATTACTTGCATCCTTTCACAGTGAACCAAGTTGATAATCTACGATACCAAGCCATGAATATTGTAGCAGTGAGACTTGGCAGAGCTGAGCCACCTCTTAGGAAAGAAGTGGTGGAGTACATGTTAGATGTTGATTCTCACATGTGGAGCATGAGAAGAAGCAAAGCTAACTTCTTTCGAATTATGTCACTACTTTCTGCCATGTTTTCTATGAGCCGGTGGCTTGGTGATGTATGCAATTGGAAGAACGGGGTCACCACAGTTCTTGTCCACATTCTCTTTCTGATATTGATTTGCTACCCAGAGTTGATACTTCCAACTCTTTTCGTCTACATGTTCCTCATTGGAATGTGGAACTACAGGTTCAGGACTAGACATCCTCCTCACATGGATACCAAGCTTTCATGGGCAGAGTCAGTTCACCCGGATGAGCTTGATGAAGAGTTTGACACATTTCCGAGCTCTAGACCCCACGATATAGTTCGAATGAGGTACGACAGGATCAGAAGTGTAGCAGGAAGGATACAGACAGTTGTAGGTGACATAGCAACACAAGGGGAGAGATTTCAGTCTCTACTGAGCTGGAGAGACCCAAGAGCAACCAGCCTTTTCATACTGTTTTGCCTTTGTGCATCTGTGGTTCTTTATGTGGCCCCATTTAGAGTGGTTGCTTTAGTTGCAGGGCTGTATTACTTGAGGCACCCCAGGTTCCGAAGCAAGCTGCCTTCTGTACCCAGCAATTTCTTCAGGAGATTGCCCGCTCAGACCGACAGCTTACTCTGAAACTAATTTGTGGCAAGTCCTGTGGAAAATATAACGTTCATGTAACCTTGTTCATCTAACCTTGTTCGAGTTTGAATAAATGCCCTGTTTGAATTCCCTTTGTAACAACAGGGGCTCCCCTCTCAATAAAATAGAACTATGATCACACAATGAACAATGTAAATTATTATTGTATTGTAGCTGAGTTTTATACTCGTCATGTCGGCTTTCAATTTGTTGGCTGCTACTCCTTATAACTCAATAAAAATAGTAAGGTTTCTGCACACATACAACCATCTTCAACGCATTTATCCTAAGAATTCTGTTTTTATACTTCAATTTAAGCACCCCAAAAGAAAGGTTTCCATAATACTATCCTAAACCCTAAGCAACCAACAAGTTGATCATCTCAAATGACCGCACTAAGGCTGTAATATTAGAAAACATGGCATGTAATGGGAGAGAGTAGAGATCCTAGGTTCAAACCTCCTTTAATAAAATAGAAAAGGAAAAAAACATTCGCACAATGCATGATCTAAAGTAACATCCGATGAGATGTCAATTACAAATTAAACTTAAAGAGTACAACCACTAAGATCAAGTTCAAACAAAAATGGAACAATTTTAGATAGAAAAGCAAAATCTAACACTTTTCAGTTTCTTCAATCTAAAAAACAAGCTCGTGAGGCTTCATGCCTTGCTTGAGAGAAAACCTTGCAGCCAAATAAGTCTTCAAATCTGAAACTCCCTCGATGGATTTAATCAATGGTGTATCAACAGCCTTCTGGTCATCTTTTTTCCCCTGTGGAAGTACAGTTTTCTCCTACAATTTGAAGAAGGAAATCAAAGGTTAGAAGAAAAGAACAAAAAGACGGCCAAAGAACAAACATAGACAGTATACACTTGAAAAAAGATAAAATATTTTTTTTAATAAAGAAAAACCCCAACCTCTTTCTCTGCTTCAAAGAACTCGCCTTCACCCTTCTTTTTCTTCTTCTGGACTTCCTTTGAAAAATACTTGTCATCAAACTTATCCACGTTAACCCCAGAGATGTCAACCTTGGTTGAAGTTCCAATCACGTAAGCTTGGTTCACACGTCTAAGAGGAACACCGTTAATCTTGAATGGTCCTGAAATGACAAGAAAGAACGACAGTTAGAAACACTCCAACTTTGAAATCTAAGGCACGCAGGGATTATGAAAAAAAAAAAGCGGGAAGGGAAATGCTCAACAAAACTACAAATCACATCATCTGGCACCGCCTAATGGTTCTTTTCAAAACAGATGTGCACAGCCAAATGGCTCTATTGAACTTCCATTCAAACACACTAACAAAATTTAATCACTTTTATCACACATGTAAACAATGACCTTGTTCCATGTACTGAATGACCAACACTTTTCTTTGTATTACATACGTGCTTGATCAAACCAAATAATCATCTCCATATGAAATCAACCAGCAGAACAATTGACACAAACATTAAGCACTAATAAATTTGATAAGAAAGAATTAAAACAGATGAAAGAACATTTTTTCATCATTGTTCTTGCACCAATAACATACAAGACAAAAAACAAAAACTTAATTAAGGAAAAAAAAAAGAACTTACCAGTGACCAAAAGCAAGCCAGATGAGAGCTGCTTCAGAAACACAACCCTCTTCCCCTTGAACCTCCCAGCAAGAAGGATCAACACAGTACCAGGAGTAATGCTATCTCTACAAGATATGAAGAAAAGAAAATACCAAAAAATTACTAACGATATAAACAAAAAAAACATAGAGAGATTACAGAAGATCAAAAACTGCTTCTCAAACATAAACAATTTACTTCCGCTTTAAGGTAAGCAACTGAAAAAGAAAATAAAACATTCCCATCTCACAATTTATGTTTTTTTGGTAAAAAAAGATATCTAACTTCTAATCTCTATATCCTAACCAATATTGAACAAAGGAAAGATGATAATATCCTCAAACACCCAAAGGGGGAAAAACAAAACTCAAATAACAAAGTAAATACTTTCTCAAACCCCAAACCAAGGGGACCGTCCAATGCATATCTTCACTTTCTATGTTCCCAATTTCTTTTTTCATAATTGACATGGGTATTGGAAATCAAAGAAGGAATCCCAATAAACAGAACTTAATAGAATGCACACACCAATCAGATAAAAAAGTAGTCACTCACAAGAGAGAAAAAATAAGCTCACAGGTAAACACATTTTCTCCGAATCCACACACATTAAGGCATCCATTCAAACCATTTCCCCACATTACGGAAAAAGGAAACCAAACCCAATAACATAACACAGTCAAAGAAACCCATTGATAAATACATAAATGCGCACAAATCCATAGAGATAGATACAGAAAAACAGAGAGATAGGGACCTGAGCTTTGTGGGTTTGGGCTTGCGCTTGTTGACCAGTGGCGTCTTGACATCATCGGCGGGGTAAAACTTAGGCGGCTTCACAGCAGGGACGTCAGCCGCGGGCTTCTTGTCGTGGCGAGGGAAAGCGCCGCCGTTTTTGGCCTTGATAGCCCAAAGCCCTCGCTTGTGGTACATCTTCGACCTCGAGTATTTCCCAATCCCTCTAATCAGATCTGGGTTCCTGGTCACCTTTGGGGTCCTCTGCTTCGGCGCCATCGTGAAATCTTTGTAAGAGTCTCTCACTGGTTCTCCGTCTCCGAAAGGCTCAGCCACAAACACTGAGTAAGAAACTGGTGTGTATATATATGGGCCGAACCCTTAAAACCCTCAGACCTACCTGCAAAATGGGGTACTCGCTATCACTTTTACTCACAAGGAAGGAAATGACAATTTTGGCCACCTCCATTTCAATTAGGTCTCTATAATTTCTAAGCCTAATTTTTTATTTTTTATTTCAAACTTCCTATTAAGGGGTTGATCTCGATAATATACTAAACTCACGAACATTAATTTTTATTGTTTTAATTAGGGTAGCGAATCTATCCCTTACACTCAAATTCGAATATTTTTTTTCTTATTATAATTAATTTGGACTAGTTCAGACTCTCACTGGTATTAAAAATTATGTTTAATTTACTTATTGATTATTTTTTAAAATGCAATTCACTATCTTTTTTATAAAAAAAATGTAATTTAATATTTTATTTAGTAAAGTAATTTACTTTTACTACAAAAGAAAAAGAAGTTCAATCATATCTCACCCGCGGGTGAGATACCTTGGACCAAAATCCCAGCTAGATAATGAGATAATGAAATTGAAGCCTCCTCAGTCTGAGCTCTTTTCCCACCCTCACTCTTTCACTCTGCTTTGGAACCCCATTCACTTTTCTCCTCTTGTTCATAATCACAACCAATAGCCCAGGAAAAAAATGGCTACAATCTCATCCCTACTATCACCACCCAATCTCCTTCACCATCCCACAAAACCCATCAAAGCCGCACCAAAGCTGTCTCTCCAAATCCTCAAACCAACCCAATTTCAGGGCTTTCACAAACTCACTTCCTCTTATATGATTCTGACCCCCCGACATTCACAAAGAGTCTTTGCTGTTGCCGAAGAAGTCGCAGCCGACCCGTCTTCTAAAGCGGCCAGGAGAGTTTACATTGGCAACATTCCCAGGACTGTGGATAATGCTGAGCTTACCAAAATTGTTGAAGAACACGGAGCTGTAGAGAAGGCTGAGGTTTTTGGCTTTTCATTTTCATTTTATTTTATTTATTTATTCTGTCTCGTTTTTGTGTTTTTCCATGCATTTTTGTGGTTTTTTAATTGTTGGGTTATTGAAGATTTGAGAACTCGGTAAGTATTTGATACTTGGCAGCCACTACATTTATGTTTGGGTTCATATTAGTATTGGATTAGTTAGCTTGAGAAGAATAGGTTGGTTGGGTTAATATGTAGCATCATGGGCACCCTAGCTTAATTGGTGTAAGGGAACTTCAGTGTTGCATGGTAATTCGTTGATTGGAACTGAACTAAGAGTAGTTTACAACGGTTGGTGGGGTGGAGCTCCTCCGTCAGCTGGTATACGAACCCGAGGCTGCCAATAGGTTTTACTTACATGCATATGGTGTCTGTCCTGTTTGACAGTTGCATTCAAAGTTGCAGTTCTAGATTCTAAATGTGATGTTAAATAATAAGAGTGGACTAATAGCTTAGTTGGAACTTCATCCTGGGAATCGTATTTTTAACCTCATGAGCTTGAATACTTCAATCTTGGTCATTACCAGCAATACCCTTAATATATGCATAAAATCTTGTCATGAATTTGATTTTGCTTGTCACAAATCTTTAGTTATTTTGATCATTCCTTTCAATGACAAATAATTCACATGTAGTCATATCAATATAAGACAACACTGAAAGCTTGAAGATAATGCAGCTATCAAAACATATGATCCTAATCTGGTGCTTTAACAATATCTTTTGAGCTGTTCTACTTATAATTTCATCTTGATTTTGTAAAGCAGCATGCCAAGACCTTGTTACTGTTTCTCGATATGTTTTCCTGATCTTCTATTATTGTATTTGTCATTGACAGTCAAACCATTTACTCTTTTCATGCTTGAGCATGGTTTAATAATACCATACTTGAGATAACTGAGGATTTGCTAGTAACCCAGTAAGCTTTTACCAGAAAATTTTGGCTGAATATTTTAAATGCTTGTGCAAGTATCAATGTGAAGAATTTACTATTGTAAAATCCAAGGTGGGAGATATGTATGGCTGAGCAAGAGAATGAGGATTTATTTGGCAACTTTTTTTCAATATATAGAATGTTGTGTTTTTTTTTTTTCCTGAGTTGACTGTAATATAAATAACATAGAAAATCAATAAAAGAGATGACTTTCCTCCCTTCCTTTTGGTCATAGGTGATGTTTGATAAGTACTCTGGAAGAAGTCGCCGATTTGCATTTGTTACAGCAAAGACTGTTGAAGATGCAAATTCCATTGTTGAAAAACTGAATGGAACTGTAAGTGTTGCCAAGGTTCATACGTTTTATTGATTAAAATACTCTTAAAGAATTCATCTAGTATAAAGTGTACTTCCTCTGCCCTCTATCGGCACTTTTTCAATTTGTTTCGTAAAATTTTATTAATTGTCAAAAACGTTAATTCCATCTGGTTGTTAATACAGGAGATTGGAGGACGTGAAATCAAAGTAAACATAACCGAGAAACCCCTGCTACAAGCAGACGTATCACTTCTTCAGGCAGAAGAGTCCCAATTCATTGACAGCCCCCATAAAGTGTATGTTGGAAATCTTGGAAAGGAAGTAACTACAGATACACTCAAAACCCTCTTCTCTGAGAAGGGAAAAGTTCTTAGCGCAAAGGTTTCCCGGGTTCCAGGGACTTCAAAATCTAGTGGTTTTGGGTTTGTTTCTTTCTCCTCCGAGGAGGATGTAGAAGCTGCCATCTCATCTTTCAACAATACTGTAAGTTTCTAGCTGTTGTTCCAAATTTTAGAGGAAGCTGGAAATCAAACTATACATACATATAGTTGCCTGCTTGTTCATATTCTTTCTTATATATGTTCTTATGGAAGTTTTCATATGACTGGCAACATAAACCATTATTGAAATTCAATGACGCAAAAGCTAGAATTACTAGCCAATTTTCAAATTTGCAGGTGCATGGTGTATTTTGTCTCTAGTTGCTTCTGTTGTCTGCATAAATTCCTGCTAATTCTTGTATGATATCTATCACGAATCAATATACCCTTTCTCACCATCCATGATTTATACTTCTTTGTGGTTTCCATCCTGGTGATTTTCACATGTTACAAACAATAATTATAATCATGAAGTATGGTGGTTATATTTTCGTTAGGATGGATATTGCTTTCCTCATTAGTTTCCTGGAACTGATTATTTCTTTATTGCAAATAATTGGAACTGTTTGAGCATTTGTTTCCTTAGCAATTTTGATCAGTTGGTATCCAATTTTTCACGGTTAGACAATTTATTTCTATTAATTACTGTTCTTTGCAGTTGTTTGAAGGGCAACGAATTCGTGTAAACAAGGCATAGTAAAGCTGGCAGAACACTTGGTTTTGGAGAGTTTGTACTTGTATCTATTGTATCAGAAATTAGGATAGGCTATTTATGGAACAAAAATCAGTGTTTTTTTTAGTTTCTACTGGTTTTGATCTTAATGAACGATTTTGTCAAGACCTTGATGTTTTCTAGCCGTTCCTGGTAGAAGCTGTCTGGATTTATAGTTATCAAAACGTATGAGAATGACATGGCATGATTAGTGCATCTTGTGATGGTTCTCTGACCAATACGGGTTTAAACAGCGTAATACAAATCTGGTTTGTTCAAGCTGGGTTTGGTTGAAATTGTCTCGAATTTGTACTAAACTCGGGCGTCCTTTGTGTTCAAGTAATTTTGCTCAAGCTTCGTTGTTGTAGATTTGGTTGAACTTGAGCTGGTTTATTAGAATCTAAGAATGGTTTTTTTTTTTTTTGGGTGAAAAAAAGTTGGGGAGGGGAGGCTGCCCCATCTCAAGGTCAAGGCATACTAAGGCCTTAACTCCTTTTTTGGTTTTTGCATATAACCCATCAAAAGGAATTGTTGATAACGGGCCTCGAACTTAGGCATTGCTAGCGAAGAGAATGCTCCTTACCAACTCAACCAACACTCATCGGCTATATGAATGATTTTTCAGTTGACCACTTTTGGCTCGTGGAATTATTTGTAGAGTTCAATGCATTCTGATTGTGCTTGCTGCGGGTAAAATTCTCTTGCATGATTACATCTCTTGCTACGGTATTTGCTTGGAATTTGAACGAAATGAGTGTGTTTTATTATAAATATTTGTTTGGATTTTTTTTTATTGTTGGAAATATTAGTTAGGAATTTGAAAAGACAAGAAAATTAGATTTAGGAGCTTCTAGAGATCTCTTTAGGCAATTAATGTCTCAAAGATGACATGAGCCGAATAACACAGAGAGCTACAATATGACCTTCTAATTTGATAACTTTGCGTTTTCATTTTTGGTTTGGCTTTTATTTTAAAAGGTGTTGGTTTTGATCTGCTATTTTTTTAATTAGGATTTTAAAGTAGTTTTAGTATTTTTTGTTGTTGTTGAAGCAGATGTACTGTAAAATAGAAACAATTTACAAAAGTACGAAGATAGCAAGAGAAACCATCTGAAACCCAATGTGAAAAGCGTGGACAATAATGTAATCATAAAACAGATTTATGGCCTGAATCAAACACACGGAAACAAAAAAAAGTTTAGCTTAAATTTCTTTGATTTAAAAAAAAAATAGAAAAATAGTTTAGCTCAAAATTTTTATCTTCAGACTTTAATTACCACCAATTGAAAAACTTGAGAATTTTCTCTGGTGGATATATATAATTTTTTTTATTGAATTCTCTGGTGGATATTACCCTTTTTTTTTTCATTTTTGAAAAGTGAGCAGATTTGATTTTTGAAAATTTGGGTAGTGGAAACTTCCAAAGTATCTGTCGTTTCGTTTGGGAAAAAGAAAAGAAAAAAGAAGAGAACTCCAAATGGGCAACAGTCGTAAATTCGTAATTCTTATAAACCACGAGGGATATTCCCGTAAAACTCACTCCAAATGGGCGCCATTTTTCGTTTCCCGCGCCCCCTTTCCTCCTTCAATCTCCAATAACCCTAAAACCTTCGTCTTCTCTCTCTCATAAACCATATTTATACACACAGCAACACTAACGAAGCACTGTTCTTATTGATTTATTTATAAGTTTTGCCATTGAAATAGTGTAGAAGAAGAAGAAGAAGAAGACGAAGGTCGAGGGATGTTTTATTCGCAGACGTTCTTGGCTCGGAAGGGCCCACTGGGAACCGTATGGTGTGCGGCGCATCTGCAGAGCAGGTTAAAGAAGTCCCATTACACTTCCACCGACATCCCCTCCACCGTTGGTCCGTACAACCCTTTTGTTTGTTTTGCTTAAAGTTCGGGTTTGTTTTTTTTGGTGTTCTGGGTGTCTCAAAATCTGAATCCAAAGCTACTTTCTTCTGTTAAATTTTGAGACTTTTTTGTGACACCGTCGCAGTGTTTTTTCTTCTTCTTTAATCTGGTATTTTTATTAAGTTTTGATTTGTAAGATGCTAATTTAGATCTTAAATTTACGGAATTCATAATCTTTCTCATACATTATAACCAATCCATTCTAAATTTCACTGAATTGAACTCCTTTTTCGTTTTGATCACATGGTCAGTCCAGTAAGGATTGCCCCATCAACAGAATCATATACCCATTCAGATTTGCTTGGGTTAAAGTTGGTTATTTTTTTGTTTCATTCCCCTTTTCTGATTTCTTAATCAATTTTGGGAATGATATGTGTTTATTGTGGGCTGTGTATACAATTTTAATTGGTCATACTTCTGAATTTGAGGATATCTTTCTCTCATACTCATTTCAGTTAGAATTCTGTGTTCCTTCTCTTAGGCTCTCTCTTCTTGTTCGGTGGGTCTATTGTGCGCAGTTTTTCTCTCAATCGTATAAAAACTTGAATGTTGAAAAAGCAATTGGCTAACAATTTTCATATGAATGCTTATATTAGATCGCATCATGTTTCCGGATGTTCCTATTGCACTGAGAATGTCAGGACACCTTCTAGTAGGTGTTGTTCGGATATACTCGAAGAAAGTCGACTATCTTTACCAGGACTGTAATGTTGTTTTGACTAGCCTAAGAAAGGCCTTTGCTTCTATAGACTTGAATTTGCCAGAGAATGCAAGACAAGCACCGGTTCAATCCATCACTTTGCCTGACACATTTGACCTTGATGCTTTGGATTTGGATACAGACTTGTTCTGTGAGGGGTAATATTCGCAGAAGGCCCTTTTCGTCCATCTTTCTTTTCTGCTTTTAAATGGATGTATGATGCAATGATTTTGTTTCCTCAGGGCTCACGATAATCATCTCAGGAGTGAGGAAGACATCACACTAACAGGTTGTAGAAGTGACTTGCTGTTTGGAATTTTCATCTTACTTTTTTTTTTTTTTTGTTTATGTTCATTTGGTGAAAGTCTTGAAATATTTGAACTTTGTGTTACAGATCAAATTCCTATTGGAACAAACCCTTATGTTGCTATAACTTTTGATGAGGTTGAACATCTATTCCTTTTCCGTTTTAAAGTATATATATTTTTTGCTCTCCTTTATTTTACTGTTTGAATGTTGAAGTACTGGAATTGCATTGTTACTGACTGAAGCCTGTGTTATTTTTAGGATATTCAGATGTATCTATCACATCCAAAAGAGGTTTTTGGTTCAGATGCTACCCCCATGGATGAGGAGTATGCTTCTTAATGCATTTGAGTTTTTCCATGTACGATTTTAAATCTTTCTTTGAGAAAGCAGTACAGTAATTTTTATGTTTCCATGGTTACAGCATCGTCCATACACCTCCAGCTGAGGGGGTTCCTAGTCCAGGCAATCAGACAGATGAACAAATAAGATTTAGTGATGACTTCACCCTTCCAAACTTTCCAGAAGTTGAGGTTCCACAACATGTTGGTTTTGAAGACCCTGTTCCAACTAACCAGAGAGAAAGTATTGATTTGAGGCATAGAGATGATGGTTCCCCTGAACATGTTCAAGAAATGGAAGTTCTGCGAGATGCTGTTCCTGATTTTAGCTCAGAAATCCTTCCTCCGGTTTCCCCCAGTAACAGGGATGACGTAACTGAACCACACAGATCTGTTGACCCTGAAAGTAGTGAGAAAGACATTCTTTCTCCAATTATGGAGGAAACTATACCTTCTGGTGGGCCATCTCCATTATTTCAGCCAAGTTCAGGACCACCAGCATCTGTTGCTTCTTTGCCAGAGGGTCTACAAAATATTGATACACATGTTTCATTTGGTGTGTAAAGTTACTATTCATCATCTACTATCCTCTTCTGATGTAAACGTCAATATGACTCAACTTTATTTTTACCTTGAGTGTTTCTCTCTTCTGTTGTTGCAGAACTTCAACCAACACCACCTCCTGAGCAGCCAAGAGCAAGACCAAGGAAGAGAAAGCAGTATTTTGATGAGACCCTTGTGTTGTCCAATGAGTATGATTGCACATATTATTCATCATATGGTCCGTATTTCTTCTGGTATTGGTCACTGAGATAAGGTTGTGAATTTTGCAGGTTTATGAATAAGACAATTCAAGATACTAGTGATTTATTGCGTAAAAGGAGGAATATTCCATGCTCTGCTTTGGGTGTTTGGAAGTTGAACAACAGTTTAAGAAAGGAACAAATATTCTTCCAGCCTTCATTAAGTGGTGAGTTGTCTTTTCCCTTCATTAGTTTTCTCTTGCTGCTTGTCTGCCATTTTGATGACTTTATTTCTAATCTGGGTGTCTGCCTGTAGGTCTGTGTTCAGATCTTTGTAACATTTCCAACAAAGACTATATATCCACAAAATCCCATTTGTTTGAGGAAGCTCTTCCAGACTCTAGGCCTACAAGATCTCCTTCTCCCACAACTGAAGCTTTCTCAGAAGCTAGGGTTGCACAATCTCCTCGTCCTTTTACAACTGAAATCTCCCCAGAGCGTAGGGTTGCACGGTCTCTTCCTGTAACTGAAGCTTCCACAGAGTATAGGGGTGCACAATCTCCTGCTACTCAATGCAACCCAGAAATTGATCAACTCAGACATGTTGAAGAACATGATGGGGAAAATATCTTACCTGAGTTTATACCTTCACCAAGATTCATGCCTTCTCCCAGGAGAGATGACCTTACGCCTGCTCCATCTCCATACTTACGGTCAGCTTCAGTTCCTCCATTGGAAACAAGCACTGGAACACAAATACTGCAGACACCAGACCTACCCGCTTCAATTGGATTTCATGAGTCTGTTTTTGAAACTCCAAGGACAATATTTGAGGAGCAGTTAGGTCCAGAAAACACTGGTCTATCAGATACTCCTGACTTAAGGAATACTGCAGAAGCTGAAGTAAGTTATACAGTATTTGGTCCTATAAGTGCTTTCATATAAATTATATTTGACTTTTACATCTCTTTTTGCTTTTCATTTTACTGTTTTGTGCCTTTTGTGGGAAATTTACAAGCCTTAAGTTCTTGTTTATGCTTGAGTGGGAGGCATTAGATTTAAGATTGCCTTGAGGTAAGGCTTAGGGATACATTATAGAGAACCTAAGGCTTGTGAAACAGCTCACTTTATTGAGCACAACTTACTCTAACAAGCTCTATTATGGTTAACTTTAGCCTTGAGTGATCCATGTTCATTAAGTGTTTTCTTTGCTCTTTGAAGCCTATATATCCATTTACTTTGAAACATTTAGATGTCTTTCATTTTTTATATGATTATATATGATATAATGCACTTGATAATTTCCATTAAGGATAAAGAATGTTTATCATGTAACTCTCTTTTGAGTTAAATTTGAACGTTAAGCAGATTCATATATATTTTTTTGGAGTCAATAAATTGCATGATAGATTTACTAAGGAATTAAATTATATTAGTGTTTTTTTTTTCTTTGAGAAATGGTTTTTGAAGATTAGCAAACCCTTTTTTACCAACTCTCTGAGAGGAAGATGGCAAAGCCAAAATTTTCCTTTACTTTGGGATAATGCATTTTGATACATGCTGAATCATTCAGAGCAAGGTTGGAGAATATCACCTAAAGTCAAACTAAAACTTAGTTTGAAATATAAAACTACGATTGTGTATCACCCAACTGACAACTACAAGACAATTACTAGAACAAGTCTAATATTCTATTTGAATGACTACATCTATTTTATATTCTAGGGGCCGTGGGCCTGTGGAATCCCTAGGCACAATTTGGCTCCGCCTTTGATTAAGAGTCTCACGTATTTAATCTTATTCTTATTTCTATGATAATCCTAACTCCTGAGCCTTGTTCATTTTGACCTTCTTTTCCTTGTGGACTAAAGTTGTAATAATATTGGTCCATGTGTAATTCCTTCCTCAAGTCTTTAAACTTTCTTTATGGTTGTTTTTCGGAAAAATACTGAATTGTATTTACCGCAATATGAGATTTATACTTTCAACCTGCCAGGCATTTTGTTAATATGTAATTTTAACTCTCCTTATCTTTTAGTTTTGAGAATCAACTTAAGAGAGACATAGAACTTCATTCTGAAACCCCTCTCCATATGCAATAGGTATTAGTGCATTACTTCATGTTTTCCTCTGTGAACCAGTTAACTCTTAATTAACTTTCGAACTTGTTAAAATGTTTCATTGTAGGATCTTTATTTTCTGGAAGCAGATAGCAGTACACCAGCTGGTAAACTCAGAAACCTTTGCTTGATCAGTGATTTGGATGATTCTGTAAATTGTGTGTAGTGTTTTTCTTGGCTGCCTGTGTGAATAAAGAGTACACATTCTTTAAGTTCAATTTTTCTAACTTTTGTGTACATTATTTGGATGACCTATCTATGCTTGTACCAGGATCTCAAGGGACACAAGGAGTACCAGGATCTCAAGGGACACACGCAGTTGATTCATTGTCTGTTAGAACCAGGTACTTCTCTTTCAATCTTTTCTTTTCTTTCTTTATGTAGGGTTTAGTTAGTCGCTGTATTTCTGTACTTGGTGGCTCATTATCTTTAATTTTCTTAATAATTTTTCCCATTTGGTGCGCAGGGCTGTGGCTCAGTATTTAAAAAGGCAATCTCCTATCACCTCAACCTCAGAAGACCTATTTGGAGATCTCAGCTTAGACAAAATCTTAGAAGGAAAAACAAGAAAGCTATGTGCCCGAATGTTCTATGAAACTCTGGTAAATTTTCAATACATTTCTGTTAAGTTGTATTGCGTTGAATCCAAGTGCTTTTTTGGATAGTAAATTGAGAATTTCTCCAAGTTTTGGTGTAGCATGTATGTATCTTATGGGTACATCATAGAATTTTAAGAGCAAATTATTTGTATACATTTTAGATGAATATGCGCAATAGAGCAAAATGTTTGTATAGGTTTAAATCAAGTATGCACAATTGGGGATAATTGGTGTGCGTAACAACCTAGTTATTGAAAAATTATTCAATTATTCAAATTCTATATTTTTTATTAAATATCTTTTTATCTTTGCATTTGGGTTTTTCGTTACATATCATTTTATCTCTGATTCTTGTTCCTAGTCTTGGTGCTATTAGAAAATGTTTTGCTGCATTTCTATTTTCTGAAATATGCAATGTATTGGATGCATCTTTCTGTTTTCGTTTGTTTGTTTAATTGGCTTGTCATTTGTTCCTTTTATACTTTCTGAACAAGCAAAACTTTTACTGCCTGTTGAAGTAGGTGATGCAGCATTTTTGGTATATTACTAAATGTGAGTTTTCATGGTCAACACATCAGGTTTTGAAAAGTTTCGATCTTGTTGATGTAAAGCAAGAAGTACCTTATGGTGACATTAGTTTGAAATTGACTCAAACCCTATCGAAGGCTCAAATTTAAGATGATCTGAGGTAATTCAGTGTGCTTGGTGACTTTAATATGTTTTTGGTAAGAATGAGTCTTTTGACAATCGTGTTTTCTGTATGCAATTTGATATGCTGTAGTGCCCGCATACTCCGTGTGTGAAAGTGAAACCAATTTGTCATTGTTAGTGCGTTGGGTTTTTTTCTTTCTCCATTTCATGTTTTACTTGTGCGTGAACGTTGCGCCAACATGCATATGTTGTACATTAAGTGTGAATCGTAATTTGCTTTACCTTTTAGAAATACGGTGCCAAGTTTTACTTTATGTGGATTGCAGGCATTGCCAGGTCAAAGCACGAGGAAGGGAATGATGCAGTGTTAGTTTGTAAACAAGTTAAGTTGCAACGGAATTTTTGACCTTGTAGAGAAGTCTAGTAGCCCACATGTGTAACTAGTAGAGGTTGTGGTGTAAATTATTGTACTCAATTGTAATAAAAGGTATTTTCATGCAGGTTTTCTTTTTCTTCGTTTGCCATTTTTTCTCGCTGCAACATTATTCATTGAACTTTTTACCTCTCAATTCATCATGCTTTAGTATGCGTCATCCATGTGGTTAAAACCAACAGAAAATGTTACAATAGGACTAATTTACCTCAAAATAGGTACAAGTTCATACAGTATTTCGGTAAAAAAATCCATAACAATTATACTATAAAATAAATTGAAACAACTAAATTATATTACGGAGGAAAAACGTTCAGGATTCAATAAACATAATGATTATTAGAATACGTATAACAATACTCCGGGTTTGTTAGTTTTGGTTTTATGTCTACCTCGTGATGATCGTGACGAGGATACAAATTGAATACCAAGCCCATGGTTGCAAATAGATACACCCTCAGGGTGGGTAGACGAGAGACAATATTCGAGAGCATACATATCTTGAGGCCTGGGGAAATTCAGGAACTGTAAGAACCACTAGTGGTTCAACTTGGTTGTTGCAAAACAAGTAAAATTTCAGGAGAATACCCATGAGGAAATTCAAGAACAGGGACTACTAGTGGTTCAACTTGAGAATTTATAGTTGGTCTTTGATAATACAACTCCAACTATGCTCCCTATCCACCTCCTAAAATAGAGAGACCTCTAGGAGCTCCTAAATCCGAGGAGAGAGAAAGGACTCTTAATGGCTCCCTAGAATTAAATGTTGTTCTATTTTATGATTATTTTAAACTTTTAATTAATGCTAACTATTTTTATATTATTTTTTAATGAGATGGACTAATTGAAAAAGAGTTATAGTATTTATGACTCCCTAAACTATAGCTCTTAAATAGCTTTTATATATTTTTAACTAAATTTTAACTAAAAAATAAAAAGTATAATTGTGGATGCGCTAATAAGTCCTTGAATAGTCCACAAAAAGACTCCAAATTGCAAAGAAAGGCTCGAAGCAATTGAACAAAAAGAACCATGAGAGTCCCCATCAACCACCATAGGCACATCGACACAAGTGCGTGACCACCATGTCAACCAAACTCAAAATTCAAACCCATATAACTTGGGAAGCTTGGAATTCATAACACGGATAAAAGATGTTACAAGTATATCTCAGCCATTAGTACAAGTTCATACTAACAATTGTTATTCATAGCTAAGTTTCTATCTTGTATAAAAGCAAAACTACTACAATTATCATTATTCAAGTGAATGAAATCAGAGGAAAATTCCAGATTTAATTTTCACACAATTCCAAACTTCTCATTGAAAGACACATGGAACATCAAGGCTCTACTTGCTAATCTTATGTAATGCTTAGCTTTCCGTGATTCGAACTAGAAGAACTATAGGGATATTGGGGGAACCGGAGAGAGAGGAGCTTAATGAGGAGGACGACGAGGGAGGCTCTGGATTCTTCAACGGGAAGAGAAGTTTCTTTTATGAAGTTGAAAGCATTGCTCAAGATTTAATTGAGAGCTTGTGAATATGGTATTGTATAGGATGTTGAGGGATTAAGTAGGTAATTGGTGGATTTTGGGCTCGGAGCAGCTATTGCTGAGCTCCATGGATATGTTACTGTTCTGCTTTTGTAGCTATGAAGGAAATTGTTTCTTTGGTAAAATATATAGTTTCATCTCTGAGTTCGTTTGACTCCTATTCAATTGGGTATATTTGTATCTGGTGGAATTTGACTATAGACATTGCAATATTTTTGGGTTGTTTTTGTACCAAATTATGTCATGTCAAGAAATGAGCGTGGAAATAGCAGCATTCTTATTTTAATATCCTCCAATATTTCAAGATACGTATAATATGGATATGGAAATTATATTTAAAGGTCGAAACATTCAGGAGAAAGGTTAAACTGACAGTGAAAAAGAAGAAAGAATATTAAACTATGAGTTAAAACACATTTGAACAATGAAAAACCCAAATCTTTCACTCCTTTAAAATGGGATGCTACTACTGATTCATGCCCTTATTGAGTCCTACGGAAATAGTTGTCAGACATTAGACAACATGCATTTCAAGAATGAAACAATATATATGTGAAAAACAAATTTTTAATGCGATACAAACCTAACACAAAATTAGTATGTTTAATTGCCACTTAGAATATTTCACAAAAACGCCAATATTTGCTAACATGAATAATATATGGATAGGATTTGATGAACAAACATGATTCGTAACCCAATCCATTTATTATTAATTCTTGTCGAATTGGAATCCTGCAAGACTCTAATCACAGACAAGTTCACAGAAGCAACAAGAACAATTGGCAACATCTCAACTGGCTATAACAACCATGGAGCACCTTATTTTTATTGTTGCTAAACTATGAATTTATTTATTTTTAAACTATTAAGTGCAGAGTACAAAAAGGTCACCAGTCTAACAAGTCATAAAACACACGCAAATTCAACCATATTAGATATTCAAACGATAAACTTAATTTCCAGCAACAAGTGCATCGATTTTGCTTTCAACATGCGCTTCATGGTCTTCAAGGCGACCCTTGATCGCATCATTTTCCCAGCGGAATAGTGTTGGAACTCCAGTCAGCTTAAACCTTGAGTCTACTCTCCACGGGTGCACCGGATTCCTCCATGTTGGTCTATCTCCGACATATGCTCTCAGAAGTGCAACATCATCAGCTGTAGCTTCCAGCTTTTTGTAGATTACAGGTTCTGCTCTCACACAATCTGGAACAAAGAAGGGAAAATCAGTAACATACACGATTGCACACTTCATTTACGTTTAAAAAAAATTCTCAATAAATGGGAGAATCCTCCTGCCAAGTATTTCTCAATGCAGTCTTTAGTAGGAGAAGCATGAAACTAGTTCTTTTACAGGTTGTTCTACTCGGTGACATAGCAAATCAGTGTTTCGGATTCAACATTTCTGAGGATGCACCACCACCACAAGTTTCAATAGGATCGGGATCATGATCCATTTTTGTCACTCTGTGCTGCTTCAAAGATATGCAAACTACCACCAGGAAATTTGAAGAGATCTGATACAGGTCTGACATTTTGATAGCTTTCCTTCCTTCTAACCATGGATGATCAGGACATGTCTGCAAGAAACTACTTTCCTCTAGAAGCAATCATCACACAAGATTTTAGACGAAGACTGTGCTAACTTGCTCCAAGAATCCATTTTCACATTGAAGCTATTCTTAAACTGACAGTCAAGAAAGCAACTTGCCTTTTCTTTTCTTCTTCGATATATAACATGTACGGAGCATCTATTTTCATCCAGAGCCCCCCTTAGAACCCAAGCTCCTCCTAAATCGATGGAAACGCCCACAGGATGATAGAAATTTCCTTGTTTTTTTAACATACACTTGGGGTCCATGGTGAGAAAGAAGATGTCTAAAGGGCAAGTTTCAACCAAAACTCTTCCTAGCAAGAATTTAAGATTTTGAATCAAAGGAAGGTATGGGAAAATTCATGAGAAGGTTTATGTAGAATTTGGAATTCATAATTGTATACAAAGTGAGCAGAGCAGATCAGTCGCTCAGTGTCAATCTGACAGTGAACTGGAAGAAGTCAACGATCACTAAATTCTTAAAAAAAGGTGAAGCTGGGGGCACTATTTACACATCTGAAGACACCAACATGGTGATTTCTTAGTGATTTAAAATTATGGGATTTTGAATGTGAACCTCTGAGAGTCCAGATCAATTTTCTCAGCCTGTTGATAAAAATTTTAGACTTTGACTTTCTGATGTGAAAAGAAATTACAACAGTATCGAAAAATTTCACAAGAACTCTATCACGGGCACTTGTAATTTTATCGCATAAAATGAACACACAAAATTGTTTTCAATTTTGAAGTAAATTAAATAATTACCAGGGCACCAGCTGAGAGAGGTAGAAGGGTCTTTGTCAGCCAAGAAGAGGATGAGATTGGCTTTGTTCTTTGGGGCTTCTGCTCTGAATTTCTCGAACACACTGTCAAAGGTGGAGATGGTGGCGTCCAGCAGCTTGAGAGGCATTTTTCAGTTTCAGCTTTTCCAAGGGAAAGTCAAGGAACGAAGATAATTGTGCTGCTCTGTTCTCTTCCGTACGAGGAAGATGCTAAGCTAACGACGTATTTATAGGAGAACATAGCTTAAGGTGGACTCAGAGGTAAACTCTGCTTTCTAGCTCCCCTACCCTGTTTTGTCGGACAAATACATCACCCAATAAAACCATTCACAAAAATACTCACCTAACCTTAGTGAAAATGACATTGTCTTGAAAATGGGTGTTCTCAATTTCGAACCCTATGACACAATGTACGTGAGAAATCCCATTCCTTAATGTGGCTTATATAAGAAAAGAAAACATTTTCTTTTCTTATTCTTAAAAACAATTTTAACCTACCCTATCCTGTTTTGAATGTAAACTCTTTTTAGGTGGTTAAATGTATTTATTTATATATTTAGGTTGGACTCGTCATTTTCCAATATCGCTTATATTTAAAATAAAAAATAAAAAATTCCTGATTCAACTTTACTTTCCTTAATATTACTTGTATAAAAATAAATATGAGAAAAGCCAAAGAGAGGGACATTCGAACATAAATATATGTAGTGTTATTATTTTTGTTTTTAAATTCATGGAAAAAGAAAAAAATAGGACTTGTCCCTTTGTTTTTTGTTTTTTTTTGGTCAACTAAAATAGGACTTATTCATACAGTAGCAATGTTTATGTTTTGGTTAGTGGTAGTGTACTAGTACTCTGTCTACTTCACAACAACAAAAACACATGTTTGTTTGGCATTTCTGAATTCTTTTCATCGCAGTTCCAAGTTCAATTATTCAGATAAACAGAAGAGAAGAGTAAGCGAGGAACTAGCAGTATCACAGATGCTGCTTTTGAAGAAGCGAGCGAAGAGCACCCCTTTCCTCTTTCTATCTTTGAGTTTCTCATCAACCAAATTCCGCCCAACCAATCAAAACCCACCTATCTTTGCTCCTTCTCATCTCCAAAGCTACACTTCTGCCATCCCACCATCCAAGACCCACCTCCACTCATCATTCTTCTGCACCCTCATACACCTTTACTTGGCATGTGGCAGATTTCTCAGCGCTTCTGATGCCTTCTTTTCTATGCGAAATCACGGCCTTGTTCCTGTTTTGCCGCTTTGGAATCGGCTTCTTTACCAATTCAATGCCTCGGGTTTTGTTTCTCAGGTACCTCTTCTTTACTCTGAGATGCTCACTTGTGGGGTTTTGCCCAATGTTTTCACCCGCAACATTTTGATTCATTCTTTCTGCAAAGTGGGAAACTTGAGTTCGGCTCTAGATTTCTTGAGAAATGGTCAAATTGATACTGTTTCCTATAATACTGTCATATGGGGTTTCTCTAAACAAGGATTGGCTTATCAGGCTTTTGGGTTTTTGTCTCAAATGGTGAGGAGGGCTATTTCAATCGATTCTTATACTTGCAATACACTGGTTAATGGGTTTTGTCAAATTGGGTCGGTAGATTATGCAGAATGGGTTATGGATAATTTGGTTGATGGTGGAATTCCTAAGGATGTTTTAGGTTTCAACACCTTGATTGCTGGACATTGCAAAGCTGGACAAATTAGTCGTGCACTTGAGTTGATGGAGAGAATGGGGAGTGAGAGTCTGTTTCCGGATATTGTTACTTATAATACTCTCATTCATGGGTCTTGCAGCACGGGTGATTTTGTAAGGGCCAAGAGTCTTATAGATGAGATGTTGAGATCTCGGAGATATGAAGACATCCCTCATGATGAAAGAGACGATGACCAGAATCAGACTGACGGTAACCCTTTGAAACCAAACCTTATAACACACACCACACTCATTAGTTCTTACTGTAAGCAGCAAGGACTTGAAGAGGCCCTGTCTTTGTATGAGGAAATGGTTATGAATGGCATTTATCCTGATGTAGTAATTTATAGCTCCATTATAAATGGTCTTTGCAAGCATGGGAGGTTATCAGAAGCCAAAGTGCTTTTAAGGGAGATGGAGAAAATGGGTGTGGATCCTAATCATGTCTCCTATACTACCCTTGTTGATTCCTTGTTTAAGGCAGGCTCTTCCATGGAAGCTCTTACCCTTCAAAGCCAAATGGTTGTTCGTGGCCTTGTTTTTGATATAGTAATCTGTACTGCTTTAGTGGTTGGACTCTTTAAGGTTGGGAAAGCTGACGAGGCTAAGACTTTTTTTCGAACAATTTCAAAGCTTAGCCTAGTTCCAAATTCTGTCACCTACTCTGCATTGATAAGTGGGCTTTGCAACTTAGGGGACATGAATAGTGCAGAATCAGTACTTAAAGAAATGGAAGAGAAACATGTTCTCCCGAATATTGTTACTTATTCTGCAATCATAAATGGCTTCGTGAAGAAAGGAAAGGTTGGTGAGGCTATGAATTTATTGAGGACGATGGTGCAACAAAATATCCTGCCAAATGCTTTTGTGTATGCAGCACTAATTGATGGGTGCTTTAAGGCAGGTAAACAAGAATTTGCTCTTGATCTTTACAAGGAAATGAAAATGGGAGGATTGGAGGAAAACAATTTCATACTTGATACTTTTGTGAACAACAAGAAAAAGTGCAGAAGGATGGAAGAAGCTGAAGGATTAATTATGGATATGACTTCTGGGGGTTTGTCTCTTGATCGTGTTAACTACACATCTCTAATGGATGGGTACTTTAAAGCACGAAAGGAGTCAATTGCTCTTAACTTGGCCCAAGAGATGATGGAGAAAAATATAGGGTTTGATGTTGTTGCATACAATGTCTTAATGAATGGTCTGTTGAAGCTTGGGAAATATGAAGCAAAATCTGTCTGTATTGGAATGAAAGAGTTGGGTTTGGCTCCTGACTGTGCCACATACAATACCATGATTAATGCATTCTGCAGAGAGGGTGACACTGAAAATGCTTTTAAACTCTGGCATGAGATGAAGTGTCAAGGGTTAATTTCGAACTCAATAACTTGTGACATTCTGTTAAGAGGACTTTGTGATAAAAATGAGATTGAAAAAGCACTAGATGTCTTAGATGGAATGCTGGCTGTTGGTTTTCTCCTTACCTCATTTACTCATAGAATTTTGCTTAATGCTGCTTCAAAGAGTGGGAGAGCTGATACAATTTTGCAGATGCATCATAAGCTTGTGAGTATGGGGCTTAACCTCACTCGTGATGTTTATAACAATCTCATCACTATCTTATGCAGGCTAGGAATGACCAGGAAAGCTACTTCAGTACTGAAAGAGATGACTAGAGGAGGATCTCTAGCAGATACTGATACTTACAATGCCCTTATATGTGGATATTGCACAAGCAGCCATCTGAAAAGGGCTTTTGCTACATACTCGCAAATGTTGGCTGTGGGAGTTTCTCCAAGTATTGAAACGTTCAATTTTCTCTTAGGGGGACTTTCAGGTGCTGGTCTGATGACAAAGGCAGAAGAGTTATTTGGTGAAATGACGAATAGAGGCTTTGTTCCTAATGCCTCTACATATGATATTTTGGTTTCTGGCCATGGTAAGATTGGAAATAAAAAGGAAGCTATAAGACTTTATTGTGAAATGGTAAGGACAGGTTTTGTTCCCAGAACTAGCACCTATAATGTTCTTATTAGTGATTTTGCTAAAGTGGGAAAGATGAGCCAAGCTAGGGAGCTTATGAATGAGATGCAGACAAGAGGGACCTCTCCTAACTCTTCAACTTACAACATACTAATCTGTGGCTGGTGTAAGCTATCAAAGCATCCAGAGCTGGAGAGGAATTTGAAAAGGTCATATCGGGATGAGGCAAAAAGATTATTAACTGATATGAATGAGAAAGGGTATGTTCCATGTGAAAGTACCCTTCGATGCATCAGTTCTGCCTTTGCTAGACCAGGAAAGAAGGCTGATGCTCGGAGGCTATTGAAGGAACTGTACATAAAAAAGAATATATGATAGATGGGCTGAACGAAGAAAAGAGGAAATACCCATCCTGGTATAACATGCCTTTCAATCAATACTGTGGCTAGTTCAATTCTTCAGTTGGAACCAAGTCCTGAAATGCTATATACATGGTATGCATTCCTCTTGAGTTGATATTGATGCAGAGTTTTATGTGGTCTTCAGTCCCATAGCCTCCAAAACCAAAACCAAATCCAAAAAGTCACAGTTAGAATACAAAACAGCTCAACTAACACTAGCAATTTTAGAAGACCTCCACCTGTGGGCATAGGATAAGAAGAAACATACATTCCTAAATTCCAATGACAGTGAAGCCCACTACACTAAATCCCTTCCTATTCCCATTCCCCTTTATGTTTCGTTCATTTATACTACCAAACAATAGCAATCACACAGCAATTCCACAAAGTTTTTTCTTCTCACCCCCTTCCAAATGAAAAGTGCTTTTCAGTAAACATAGAAATTCTCTTATAACCTAGAAAACCAAAAATGGGTTATAGTTCCATATGTTCCACACTGAGAAGAAATTAAGACGAATTGGTGGAAATTGTTCATTGTGAAGGTCAGTGGCATTTTATAAACAATAATGTTTTAAGTCTTTAGAAATCCATTTGATGGCAAGTAAACCTTTTAGCTTCATGATCATCTCAACTGCAGGACTCTTGTTGTACTATACTTTTACGTATTCCTGTCTAATTCACTTATGTTTATTTATGTCTGCACTTATGTCATTAAGCACACTTTTGCAGGTTGGTCATTCTGCATTTGAAGATCAAGGCAATGGCTCTCCCAATGATTTCAGGAGTCTATTTAAAGATATCTTTGATAATGATGTAATGACTTTATTCTTAAAGTAAGGTTCTACAACAAGGTGAAGTACCATCTATGTTTCCTAATTATTGGCTCTTGCATTTCTTTTTTCTTTTTGTGGATGTTATTTTCACTTTGGGTGGTATGTACATGTTATTGGTGGGCGTTGTTTCCAATGGAAATTAGATCTTCATCATTTTCCATCAGAATTTGGTGGTCAAGATATCAAAGGTTTTATCCATCTTCATTTTTGTTGTTGATCTGTGTATGTGCTTTAGAATCTGCTCCATGACATGGATTTCTTTTCATTGGAACCATCCTTTATGGAAGCTGTCCAGGGATGTGCTAAAACTGTGACATTTCCAGCTGCAGTGGCCTGTGAAGGGTATACTGATTCTACTCACTTCTAAATGTCTTTTCTACTTTTGAAATTTGTCTAGTATTTAGTTGTTTTTGGCTCATTAGTATTGGAAGGAAACTCTCTTTTCTAATTTCTTGTGCTATTGGATCTTTGCAGGTGGAAGTGGTGTTCCTCCTGGCACCAGACCTGAAGCATGTAAGCACTGTAAAGGGTCTGGCATGGTCAGTTTTTCTAGGAACAGAAACCTTATCAGTTATTGATCACTAAGAATATCACATCATCTGCTGTTGTTAACTCTGATTTTCTGCATATCCAGACTTTCATGCAAACTGGCCCAATTAGGATGCATACTTGTTCGAATTGTGGTCGTAACAGTAAAACTTTTTTGGTATGGTTCGCATCTTATCTGGACTAATTTTCACTACTCTACAAACAAATTTAATTGTCTATATTTATTCTCCAGACATGCCGTGTCATGTCATTTAATAAAATCTCCGGAACCTGACTGTTTCCCAGAAGCCTTCTTCATTGGCACTATAATTCTAACAAATTCTTCTATTTCTCTCCAACCAAATCACCCAAAAAACAGCTGTCACTGTACAATTAGACAATAGTTGCCTGAAGATGGAGACAAGAATGGGAATGAGATATTTTTGTAGCTTAAACACCATGAAACTCAATAGCTTAGTCACAATTTTTCTTAAATTTCTGTAATTAAAATGGGAATACCAAAAATGAGAGATGAGAATGGGTTTATGTTCGACCAAAAAATAGAATGGGTTTATGTTGCTGGCTTAAACGGGAATACCACCTATCTTTTGTTATAAAGTGTGTAACTGAGCTTCAAGATCAGATGTTTTCAAGTTTGTGGATATGTTTGTGTGCGCATGTGAGTATATGTGTTGTCGCTGATTCTTGCTAGTATGCATTTTCATTTGCAGGAGCGACTACTTGAAGCAGGCAGGACTATACAAAAGGAACATTTCTGAGCCTTCGAGTACTTTATTTTGGCCTTCTTTGCAGGACCAACTACTTGTAGCAGGATACCCTTAGGATTGCTTTTCAGAATTTGCTGCTTGAATAAAATGATGAATTTTTGGAAGGTTCAGAAAGGGTTTTGAGGCTCCTTCAGGTTGAGAGAAAATGTCAAGTGATCTCACATTAGCGTGACTATTTGCCCCCTTTACGTTTACATAACTGCTTTACCACATCTCTGCCTTTATATACACACATACTGAGTTTAATAATCTTGATCTTAACCTTTAACATAGCTATATCTGGATGCCATCTAACCCAGCCAAATTTATCCTCTTGTTTTTGAAGAGGTTGCCAAAATATGCAGATTCCAGGTTTAAAAAAATATATATATATATATATATAATAAATTTATTTAATTTTTTTAAAATGATCCCCTTTATGCCAACGGGGTCTAGCTGAGTGAAAAGGACCTTGACTTGCAGAGGTCTCAAGTTTGAATCCCCACAACATCATAATTGTGTGTGTGTGTGAAAAATCCCCCTTCCAGCATCATAGTTGTGTGTGTGTGTGTAAGAAATTCCCCTCCTCTGTAGTTTAGAGTATTGCTTGTACTAGGAAAAAAAATGATAATAATGATCCCCTTCACCAAATAGAACATGTTTAGGTGAGCTCATGCTTTTGTAGGCGCAAGTAATATTTATGGGCTCACATTAATTGGTGTTTGATTTTACTCTCTTTATGATGCAACTGGCACTATACTCAACTTAAATAACTTAAACCCATCATAAAATGTATTTTCTTCAATTTTTGTATGTCAAAACAATAGATAATTGACTAAATGAACATTTTCTAAAGTTTTATTGAAAATTTTCATATTTTTCTAACAATTTCCGTCGTTTTAATTCAATTTTTACCAATATTGATATTTTGTCGATATTTCCAAAACCTTGGATATTTAATACCTTGCAACTGGGTTATATTCCTTAAAAGGAGCGACTTATAAGTAGGATTCTAATGATTTGAATTATCTACGACTTATAAGTAGGATTCTAATGATTTGAATTATCTACGAGCATGACATCAAATTATTGAATACTCATATGTGGCTGTCCTCAAAGTAAGGAAAGAACCTGACCCCAAAAAAATAGGAAGGAAAAACCACCATTAAACCGACAACGTGGGTAGAATTTGTTATAAATAAATGCAGATTTGTGTAAATATAAAACAGATTAGATACACAATTAACAATAGGTAGATTAAAGGGAAAAAAAAGTCTGGCCTATGAATCCAAAAGAGACACGATAACTGATGTCTTAAAGCCGTAAACGCCTTCCTACGTGTAGGTTATGGCGGTGTCTACAACTCCAAGATACAACCCAAAAGCCTTATAGGATGTTTGGTCTGTTATGCACGCCAATTGCAGACGGGTATGCCAAGTGTTGATCGATTGCCCAGGAAATAGATAAAGAGAATTGTAGGAGATGGAGAATGATGAGTGTAATTCAGATATGGAGTAGGAGAGTAACAGAGAATTGTTCGTACTCTATTATGAATAAGGAGTTCTAATTTTATAAGACTCCAGACACCTTTTTATAAAGTCACATCTATTGGGTCAACAAAGATGACTCTTAAAATAAATAATCATTACTGTTAAATATATAACAATAATAATAAGTTTTGAATTTTAATAAAATAAAACAAAATAATAAATAACTAACAGAATTAGGACCTCAGTCCCTGTTTGGTTCATGGAACAGATTTGAAGGGAAATTACTTTCCATATCATTTTTCAAGAGATGGGAAATAGAGATTCCTTTTCCATGTTTGATGATCTTGAGAAAGTAATCAATAAATACCACTTTATTTCCTTTCACATGTTTGGTTTGTGTAGGAATGTAAAACAAAGTTTGTTTAATTTTTCAATTATGCCCATATGAAATCAAATAAAAGAATAATGCATTTAATGCTCTATTGTAATTCTAAATTGTTAATGGGGACAATATGATCATGAAAAATGTGTATTTAATATTAGCTTATTTTCCCAAACTTTCCTATGAGAAGGAAAACAAAACCCAAATGGGGAGGAGGGCTTCACTTTCTCCCGTACATTCCCATGTGCAAGGAAATCCCTAAATCTCATTTTCCATGAACCAAACGGCCTTAATGGAAAGTCATATCACATGTTTTCTTTTGATTGACTGGGTTCTTGGAGGTTCACGCATTTGATGAGAAAGGAATTGGTTTCTAACCACAGTTGATAAGGTGTACTAAGTTATGTGAGACTTTGGATCCTGTTTCTAGCTGGCACAAGAGTCGCTTTCATGTTAATTTGGACGTATTTCAACATATATAATTTGCCGATGGTCATAGATTAGCAGCGTAGTAAGCAGTAATAAGTGGACAAATTAATAAACCTTCAAAATCTTGCTTTCCCTGCAAGATAATCGAAGAAACGTCACATTTCTATCCCACTATAAATTTTCAACTACCACACTACTTAATCACATACGTACATATCTTATCCTATTTCCCTCTCTGATTTTTGTTACTACCATTTTGCAGCCCCATCCATCCATTTCTACTTTGCTGTTAGAATGGCCATTTTCTCAGGTTTTCTCAATTGCTTCTTTCCTTGCTCATCGTCACAGCAGGTCTCTGATGATGTAGTAGGAGGCAGCTCCAACAAAGAGCCTTCTTCAAAGGACTCCAAAAAAGGCAAATCAAAATCATCATCGTCGTCGTCATCAGGAGCTCCCATAGTGGTTTCTTACTTCCCCCACAATTCATCTCTCTCTCTCTTGTAAATTGCAATTAATTGTATCACTTCAAGCAAGAAATTTGAGATAATTAATTTAACGAAACCGATCGAAGAAGGCTACTCTCGCTTGTGTCAAGAAGCCACTAAGAAGCCTGTGGCTCACTGAACCTAAGAAAGGAATGATGATCAATTCACAAAATATATAACAAGTGCATGGAAGGAAATAGAAGTGGGATGATGATTTGCAGCTGGAATATTCATTTGAATCTGTCTGCTGTTCTTGGGTGGTTCTGTTCTTTGTTTTGTATTGTTTATTTGATTCTGAGTTTGATTTGATGTAATATATTTCAAATTATTAGCGTGATTTTTCAGTTCCTCTTTGGAGAAGTATAATATTAAGAAAATGTGTAAAGATGAATAGTTCCTTACCCATTTTAATTAAATTATAATTCATCTCACTCGTGCATGTTGTTAACTAAGTGGATTATTAATTTCTTCCTTGGTCCACAAGCTCATCTCTCATTAATTACCTTTGAACTGTGTGTTTCTTCGCCCTTATAAAAATAAAATTCTTGAGTTCGTTGTGAGTTGCTTATTTATATGGGTGATTATTGCTTGGAATTTTTGATGCGGAGAGGATATTTATTTATTCTTTGGTTTTGGGCATAGGAAAACTATTCTTACCAACAATGTGTTGTGGCCAAACCAAAACGATAAAAAGAAAAGACAGAAGAAGAAACCATGATAAGGTGGTAGGAACCACACCATTTGAAAATATACAAAAGAACATCATGGTCGAATAGACACATGCATATATGCTTTAGTAACTAGTCCCTCTTCTTGCTCTGCAAGCAATTGGTGCCTAAATATATTGACATTTTATAATCTCATCTTTATATCACCACATGTAGCTAGCTACCTAGCTAGGCATCTCTTCACCATTGACCTCAATTTTCTCATCTTCATCACTTTCTCCGTTGTCGAGAGGCCACCCACTAATCGCGCAAAGGTGAACCACGTGGCATTTAAAAATCATAGTTGAATGAAATCATGACATTTGATTCTTAAAATATCAGTGTCGTCAACTTGGAAGTGCATTCTTCCTTGCTCTGCAAGCTTCTTATCTCCCACAACAACACACATACTGGAATATTAAAAATAAGATTCTACACTTCATTTCATTGCGTGGGCTCCATATATATTGTATATAGTCCTCTCAAACGTCAGCTGATAGAGCCAATTCTTCAGGATTTTCTTTTGACTGAGTCACAGAAGTTCGATATGGCTTCCTGGAAGTTCACAGAAACAATAATTGAGAAGTAAACATCCAGTGTTTTTTTTTTCCTTTTAAGCATTAGAGAAGGTTACATGAATAATAAGACTATCCACTTTATTAAATTTTACTTTAGACAACACCATATAGGCATCGACAATATTGAAAACTGATGCTGTTAGTATATTAGACATCAATTTTATAAATAACAAGACTAGGTTTTATAAAGGAACCACAAATATTTGGCTTTCTATGACGTTTTGATGTCACTTTAGCATCGTTTATTATACCCACCGATGCCTAAAATGCTTTTTAGTTTTTTTTTTTTTTTTTTTTTTTTTTTTTTTTTTTTTTTTTTAATAAAAAAAGTGGAACATTATGTACTGATGCCTAAACTTTGGTCAACACTCCATAAAATAATTTTCACATTCCCTTTCAAATTTTTCATACTCCTTCTCAAACAATTTTCATTAACTCTTTAGGAGTTTGGTGTGATTTGTTTTCTATTTAGAAAATTTATTTTTTTTAAGCTTTTGGCTTTCAATATGGATTTGTCATTTCTGCCATTGCACGATAGATTTGTATTGTAGGTCTGAGCATATGTGCTTCTAATTGCTGGATCGGGTTATTTGGATTGTGTGTGATTCTCTTCAGATCAATTCAACATGTTGCTGTGTTTGGTCATTGGATAAAATTTACCAATATTCAGCACATATTTGCTTTGTACTTTGGTTTGCTAATCAATAATATACTATCGCTTATTTAGAAAAAAAAAACCGTATATAGTCTTAATATTGTTGAAAATAATCCCAAGTTGAAGTTTTAGGTTTAAAATAATAATAATAATAATAATAATAATATAGTATAAGTGAAATTTTAGTGAAATTCCGTGGAGTAAACTTTGAGGGGTACTGACTTATCTCTAACTTTGAATCATGTTTAATAGTTGGCAAAAGAGTAGTTTTTTTTAATTCTATGTCATCATAGTTGTTAATTTAATGACTTTGACATTTCCCAACATAGTTTGTCGCCATAGATTGTTTTGTTTGGTTAAAGCAGATTAGTGTCGACAGAACCTTCAAATCCTTCTTGCCCTGCAAGTTAATCAAGAACGTCACATTTGTATCCATCCCATCCCACTATAAATACTCAACGACCA